GGATTATTCTGTGACAATTCTCTTTGTTGAATTTCATGTTTCTTGTATGCTGGAATTGTAAACTTCTCTGTAAATTTTTGACCAGGAAGGATAGGTACCATCTCCAATATTTCCTTGATTTGTTCCTCAGGAGTAGCATCATCCTTTATATGTTTATAAATATACCAATCTAGATCTTCACCTGGATCCGCTTTTCTAAACAACTTTGGATAAAATTCCACACCATCTGCTAGTCTCTTCTTAGCAAGTTCTCTTTGATAATTTTCTATTTGGTACTTCTCTTCTGTTGCTATCTCATGATTTCTAATAGCTAATGCATCAACGACTTTTTTCCAAAGTTTACGAGATTCATAATCACCTTGTTCTTCTAATGGGCGTACAAGAGGTTTTGTTGGCTTATTTTTATGTGTATCGAAGAGTACCGTTTTCTTAGCACCTCTTGTTCTTAAGTCTTTAATATACATAACGTCATTCCATTTACCGGAGATTTCATAATATTCTTTACCCTTTTTATCCTTGATTGTACCTTCAATAGCATCATATGTACCAGAGATAAAACCTTTGGTTTTAAACTCAATATCAACTTCATAGGTAGGACCCTTAATAATCATATGATCTCCCAATTCTACTCTCATTTTACCAAATAAGATACCTCTAGCATAAATATTTGGTTGAGACAATGTATATTTTTCCGGATTACCATCTTTATCCTTTAAATCTAAAAATGTTAAAACTGTAAGTCCTACCATCATAGCAGCAGATGAATTTCCAAGAAATTTAGATTTAGGGATAGTGACACCATCAACTCTAATATGTGATTCTGGAATCATATAGAAATATCCTGATTCTGGTGGATGATGACTAGTTTGTTCACTAATATAAAAAGCTTGTTGTTTATTTGGTAAATCCCAATAAGCTGTAAAATATTCACCAAGTACTGGATTTAAAGGTTTTTTCACAGCTTTTGGTGCAATATGCCAACCTGCTAAATACCATGCTATAACTTTTAAAAATCTTTGTAATTCATCCTTTTCATTATGTGCTTCAAATAAAATATCTGGGAATTGTAATTGATTTGTAATACGTTCTAACATAGATTTTTTCTCTAAGATAAAAGTTGGTAATGTAATTCTTGTTAAATCACAACCTGGTTTTAATTGAGAAATAATATTTAAAATAATATTTTGTCCAGATTCATCATTCTCATCAATATCATCAGTATCAACAGTCGTTTTTTCAGCCGTCTTGTTACTATTAGAGACACTTGTTGAACGAACAGATGTTGCTGATTTGGTAGTGGAATTATTACCCTTTGATATGCTTAAACTCATTATTCTTTAATATTGCTCACTTCTTCTAGTTATATATATATTATTAATAACTATCTATTATGATACAGATATATCTACCTTTTAATTCTATAATTATTTGTTTTGTTTATTTTATCTTCCCTTTTATTAAATTATTCTTTTTTTTCTTATTTGTTTTTGTTCTTATAAGAGGGAAAAAATAAATTAAATAAAAATAGTAAAGTTAACTAATACGTAAGCAGTTACACTTAAAAGGAATGTCCAATAAATTTTCTTTTTCCTTTTTAGAGAAAAAACACAACAAAATTAAACTGTATAAATAATTAATGCTAGTTTCACCTGTAATAATATTATTAACAAATTTTACTTTGGTTATTCTAAGTAAATTGAACAATTAAATAACAAATGCAAGATTGAAGGACTATCTATCTAATTGTTATATATATATGTATAAGGATTAATGATAAACGTGTATATATATAATATAAGAATAAGAACCACATTTAAGGATTTTATTGTCTTACATGCGTGTTTTTATGGAATGCCGATTTTCTTCTTGCTTAGCATTATTATTTGTTCCCTTAATAGACTATTTTTGGCAAAGAAAATAAATAAATGATAACTACAACAGTATAACAACTACAGGATTATATAACATCGATATCTATATAAAAACAGCTTTTGAAGTATTTTTTTGCCTTAATTTAAGGAAATAGGAGTTTTAGACGAAACCAAGACGGATATATGAATATAATGAACCGATGCACATAGCTACCAAAACCTAAGAATACTAGAAAAGGGGTTCCCTGTACTCTCTATATATGTATATTTGTATCTTATAGAATTATTATTTATCTTTTCACACTTGAATTAATTTAACCTGTCTCTCTCTGTTCTTACGTTACATGAAACTTCACGAAATAAATGTCACATCTGTCTGTTAAACCCTAATATCCTCCACACGCACAATGAAATATGAAATATTCCGCGGGATACAATAATAACAACCTCGCAGTATACATATAATATAGGGGACAGATAAAAAGCGAACAAAATTCTTTGTTTATTAGATAAACTGCAAATATAATCCCATCCACACTAAATAAACCAAATTAGAGAAGGGAAACCCCGCAAGCAGTGGGAGGACAATAAATATTATTGTTGACAGACAGAAAAATAAAATGTCTGACTGACTGACGAATAATAATGAATAATAATAGTAATTTTGACCTCTAATTTGTCAATTTTAATGGTGATATGATGATAATGCCAAGAAAAGTGATAGTTGTATTTTTGTTTTATTTTATTTTATTTTATTTTGTATAAATGAATAATACAATAAACCCATAAGTAAGAGAAATAAAAGGATATGGAATTTTCTCTTATTTACAATTATAATATCAAGTGATCTAGATAATTATATTACTATAAGACTAAGGTTCTACTCAATTCTTGATTAAGGTTCTACTCTATTCTTGATTAAGGTATGCATGTACATATATAATTCAATTCTTTTTCCTTTCTAAACAAAGTGATGGGAATTAGTCAATTCTTAACTAGTTGCTTACTATTATATCAATTAGTTTCTGTTTTATATGTTTGTAAAATGAAAATATTAATATTATTTCATCTTATATTAATATTGTATTATAATGTAAGTATTACAGCAGAAAAGAAGAAAAAAAAAAATAAAAAATAAAAAAAACGACCAAAGGGGACGAGGAAATCGCGAATTAATGCAATTTTGTTTTGTTCAAAGGTTAAAAAAACAATAATAACATTTAATTAGATATCTTTAAAATATTATATATATACATAGATATAGAGTATTTGATATAATAACAGTCGTAGCACCCTTTAAAACACCTCCTAAATAGTAATATTACTTTAATATTATTTTGTTTTTAATTGAGTCTTTTCTCGAAGGTTGCAAAAGAGAGAGAAGGAGAAAAGAAGCAAAAAAGAATTAGACTATTGATACAACGCTAAAGAAGCAAAATCCTCTTTCATTTATTTATTAATTATTTTGAATAATGTCTCTAGAACTACCAGTTGGTAAATCTAATGATGTGAGAACACGTAGTAATAGTAACGTATCAATTAGAAGAAGAAGTAGAAGATCGTCATCTGTTGGTAAATTAGAATTAGGAGATTCTGGTTATAATTTATTAGGTGTATCAAAACCTAAGGATCCAAAAACTTTAAGAAAAGATGTATCACAAACTAAAAATTCAATTATGAAAAATTTAACAAGTTTTTTGGATTTAAGTTCAGAACATATGTGGATTATTCCTTTAATTATTATTTCAATTGTCTATACATTATTTTTTCAATCAAATGATCAATCTGAAAATAATCCATTACATATGTTTGTTTCAATTTCCTATAGAATTGATGAAACTGATATGTATGGTAAAGGTATTAAAGATTTATGCTTCTTATTTTATTATATGATTGTCTTTACATTTATTCGTGAATTCTTTATGGATATGATAATTCGTCCAATTGTTTTAAAAGTACAAGTTAGATCAAAACATAAATTGAATAGACTTATGGAACAATTATTTTATATCATCTATTATGGATTATCAAGTCCCATTGGTCTATGGATAATGTACAATTCCGATTTATGGTTATTTAAAACAGATACAATGTATAAGACATATCCTGATTTCAATAATCCATTTTATTTTAAATGGTTCTATTTAGGTCAAGCATCATTTTGGGCTCAACAAGCTTGTGTCTTAGTCTTACAATTAGAAAAACCAAGAAAGGATTATAGAGAATTAGTGTTTCATCATATCGTCACTTTATTATTAATTTGGTTATCCTATGTATTTCATTTTACAAAGATGGGTCTTGCCATATATATTACAATGGATGTATCAGATTGGTGGTTAGCAATGACAAAGACCTTAAATTATTTCGAATCAATTCTAACGGGTCCTGTCTTTGTTACTTTTATGTTAATTTGGGTATATCTTCGTCATGTTGTTAATATAAGAATCTTATGGTCAGTATTAACAGAATTCCGTACGGAAGGTACTTATATTCTTAACTTTGCTACTCAGCAATATAAATGTTGGATCTCTCAATCAATTGTTTTCACTTTAATTATGGCTCTACAACTAGTCAATTTATATTGGTTATTCTTAATTCTAAGAATTCTATTTAGGATGCTTGTAACAGGTGAAAAAACTGATGAAAGAAGTGAAAACTCTTCTGAGGAAGAAGATTAATTAATTAGCTAATCAAATTTTTTCCCTCTCTATTCCTCCCCTATATGAATTCTTATTTTCATGCATTTAATCTATCTATGATTTATATTTTTATTTTATATATGTAAATACATAATTACTACAAGTAGATCTTTTTTTAGGAAAAGAAAGTAGGAGGTTGTTTCTCTCTCACAATTACACATAGTTCATAAATATAACTTTAAGTAATATATAAATATCACAAACAATATTGTTATGAAAAAGAGAGAACAAGGTTAATTTTTATATTTAATCTTTTTTTTTTAGAATTATTTATTCATTTATTTATATGTTTGAATGTTGACTGCGTATGAATGTATATATATACAGGAAATTTTTAATTAGGTTTTTTGCTTGTATAATGGAATAAGAAAAAAACATTATTTTGTCAGGAAGACAATATGAGTGAAAACAAAAATATGTTTGATAATATTCAGAGTTCAGCAGTCTTAAATTTGTTCAAACGTGTCTTCAAACCTCTTTCACCTGCCTTTGCTAGAACACCCAAAATCAAACTAATGGAACGGTATGAATCATCATTACCAGGAATTGGATATGTGACTAATGAAGGCTCTGAGTCAGTATCAATGATCCCAATGGTTGGAACTCTAGTCTTCATAGCTTCATTCAACGCATTTCTATTTTCAGTTGGATTTAACACTACTAATAGATCAGGTTTCACAATACTGGCATTTTCATCAGCACTTAATAGTCTTCCAGTTGATTTCTCAGCCATATCAACTTCAAGCTTTTCCCAAACACCACTAATTTCCGTTGGGTTTGTTAAAGTACCAGGAATCCATCTAGTAGAGACATAGTAACCGTTTACCCTCTTGGCAGCTTCTTCTAGAGGCCTCTTTTGACCTTCTCTTGTCCCTAAGAATAAGATAATACCTCCCCTTTCAACAATACCTTCCATAACTTCAGATGCCCTCTTTAAATATGATAAAGTCTTGTTCATATCTATTATATGAATACCTTTATACTCACCGTAAATAAAAGGTTGTGTAGATGATCTCCATAAGGAGGTAGACTGACCCAAATGGACACCTGCTTCCATCAATTTGGTAATAGAAACCTGATCAATAGACAATGGTTTGGATAAATCCTTGTTTGGATTATAAACTTTTGTTACATCTGCACCAAGACGTGCACTTTGTTTGGCATGTTTTAGTTGTCTTAAGAATAGTTCTTGTGGTGTGTACGGTTTATCGTTTGAGGATGGTTCTAAGAATGGGAATTGTTCTAATTGTCCTCCAATAGAGGCGTTTTCATTATTACCAGTAGACAATACAGATGGAGATGATCCTAAAGAGGAAGCTGAAGAAAATTCATTAAGAAAACTTGTCAATTCTTCATCTAGTTGTTTCTCTTTAGCGGTTAAAGGTTTATCTAATACTTTTTGTAATTCATCTAGTTCATCAACTGAAACCTCCCTTAATGATTTTAACCTTGCAGATATACTATCATTCATTTGTTTTTGACGAACAAGAAGCAGATCTTGATCTACCTCGGCGTCCAAAGTTTCATTGGTGTGTTGAAACCTCCTAACGACATGACCTCTTGCATTATGGAGGATACTGGTTCTACGCATGGCAAGCCCACAACGTACCGAGCTAAGCATAGTAAACTTTATATTCTTATTTATATGGGGCTGTTAAAAAACAATACTCTAAACAGCAAAAGAGGAATATTAATGGAGCAACGTATTTTCTCCCTTATAATTTATCTAATGTGGTTCAAGATTTCAATAAAATGTAATCTTTAATCCTTTTGTTATAAAATGTGAATTATATTTTTTGTTTCTTCCGTCTTCAAATTCGCGTAGTATCATAATGAGGATGGGGGGAGAAACAGAAGTACACCGGGTAAAGAGGAGGATGGTCTAACTTAACGCAATTAAAACTGTATAAAAAGGATTGCATACTTGAAACATGTTTGATTAAGGATTCCACAAATGATTGTTCAAGCTTGGAGATAGGAAATTACGTTCATCTTCCCTACTGATGATGAAATAAAGGAAAGGGAATTTTTTTTGTTTTTGCTTTTTGGTGTTTGTGTGCAATGGGTATAAATGAAGTGGTGGATGATCTGACTAAGAAGGATGGTAAGACGTTAGTATTTGTACTTGGACAAGAATCCCGAGATAAAATAGAGGCTGGACTTATAAGTCGTGACAACAGCCTATTTACGATTGAAAAGAGTCGGCATGATATAAAGATTTTATTCTTGAATAAATTACAATATTTATTTATGTTTTTAATGAAATTGGAAGCTGAGAAAACATGTATATATGATAATATTGTAGTATTTGGACTAGATTCTTTAGTATGTGATAAAGATAATGTTGAAATGACAAGATTATTAAATCTTATTCTGAGTACACTTTATAAGGTGCACCGTGTACATGATCTCGATGGTATTATCATTGAATGGTTTGATACCACGAAGGATATGAGTATCCTTGATAAAATGGTAGATTATTGGAAATTCCTCTTGTGTTAAAGAATTTAACCATACATACATATATACATACATATATACATATACAAAATAACGACAATAATGAAATAATATAAAACATTCAAAATGTAAAATGAAATCAATTTATTTTATTTATGGTACAAAAATATTTAATATTATTTTATTTTGGGAGGCGACGTCGACGACGACGACGATGAGAGTAAGAGAGTTATGTTATCTTTTTGATTTAATCAATATTTATCTTAGTAGTAGTCAATTCGGAGGAATCATTATCGTAATAACCTGCAAGTTTAACTTTGAATACAGAGGCTGCGATACCGAATTGCTTTAAGATCAACGCTTTACGAACATCTAAAGTTTCACCTTCTTCACAAACGACGTAAGGAGTCTCCAGAGTGATCTTCCCTGCCTTAATCTTCGTTGGGATATCGTATTTAGTTCTTAGAGTAGGTTCCAAAGAGTGGACCATTGGGATGTCATCGTCGACTGGAACTTGACCACCACGAGAGTAGATGATACCTTCTGGGATAGTGAACGATATTGGAGCCTTTGAGTTTGGTCTCGAAAAATCGGCTTTTTCGTAAGCTTTGAAATATTCTTCAACGACTTCTGGTGTCTCGTTAGTGAACAGTAGACCTGTGACACCGTTGCATAATTTTGTGAACTTGTAAAGGTTTTCCTTGTATTCGTTTTCCCTAGTGTCACCAAGAGCCTTTTCTAGTACTTTTCTTTTACCCATTAGTAGTTTAGAGCCGGTCCAAGCCTGTCTTATTTCTTGCAGGACTGGAGTTCTTACGTTGTCTAGCAACATCAGCCAGACGTAACGGTACGTGTCTAGACCTTCTCTTACTTCATCGAAGATTCTTTCTTTGTTGGCTCTACCTTTCTTATCGGTTTGAGCTAGAGTAACCAGCTTAGAACGTTTGGATCTTGGCATTGTATAGAAGTAGCAGTGATTGTCTGTTTCTTTTGGCTGTTATTTAGTACAAGTAAATTCAGGTCAATGTTCAATAGATGATAAAACGATAAACTTCATGATACACACAAATATATATATATATACTTTAGCAATTGCATGTATGGTATACGTCTGTGCTGAATCAACCAGATGAGAGATGCTCATCTCATCGCTCGCACAAAATGGAAAAATTGCAGAGAGAAGAAAAATTTTCAGTTCGTGTCGCGTGATAAAAAACAGGGTTTGCTGCTACTACTACTAACCGGTACAGCAGTAGATCAATCTCTCTCAATCCTCAGCAACTTCCACATGTAGAGGTATACACACATATATATATATATGTGTGTATATATAGCACTACGATTATGACGACAACGAGCACCGAACGAAGGGGAGTGGGGGCAGCAAATCCGAGACAGACCGCACTACTTGTTGGCTGTTTCCATTTTGTTTCCTGTTTGTTTCGGAAGCCGCTCCCTTTCCATAGGCATTCAATACACAGCTTCAATGTTTTCAAAGAAATTTTGGCATTTTGCGGAACCTTTCTGGGCGGTGCGGTGCGTGGGTGGTGGTGACATACCCGCAAAGCGCCTTTCTCGACTGCTGCCAGGCCAAGCTGTGCGATGCGATGGATTCATCACGTGACATCTACAGGACGACCAATTACATACATACATACATACATACATATAGATTCTGGTTTCGAGATAGGTAAGTGTAAGTAGACAATGCTACGGCCAGAAAGAGCTAGTGTAGTATCTTAAAATAACAGCAGACAAGGTAGTAGCGGCGACCTGGTCGATTTTAAATAAGTTTCTTGCAAAGCGACAACACAACAAAGGTCTGTTTTGGAGTTTCATGTATGGGAAATTCCAGTCCAGTGCGACATTCTTGCACCTTACCCTTTCCACATTATGATATCATGCATGCCGTCCACCCCCAACCACCGACGACCGGATCCCATCGATATTGTACTGGCTCTAGCACGATCTGAGATTGCAAGCAATAACAGTCGCAGTTGCTGTGCACGCATTGCACTACGACGGCATCACCACCAGCTGTGCTCTCTGGCTCTTTCCCGTTTCCATAGCGAGCAGAGCAGAGCAAATGACATGACAGAGAATGGGAATGAGAGAAGCTGCCTCTTCTGCCTGTCTGCTGTCTGCCTGTCTCTGTTTTGCCGGAAACGGAAATGGAAAAAGAAAAAGCGAAAAAAAAGCAGAGAGAGAGACGAGATAACAACAACAACGAGAGCTACATCAATGAGAGACAGAGAGACAGAGAGAGTGAAAATTATTTTATTTATAGGAAACTCATTACAAACAAGAAAAATACACAAGCACCTAATTTCACACTATCGCTAGCAATAACAACCGTCGCTTATAAGTCACATCTTCTAGTAATTTGTGCTCTCCCCTCCCCCATCTCATCTGACTTCGTTATATTTTAGCCTAGTTTTTTTTTATAAAAATATATATATACACACACACACATCTCCCCTATCCGTCGTCTGTTGACCAAGACTATTTATAGAGTGCTATCATAACAATACGCTGAAACTATTTTGGAAGAATAAAAACGCAGGCAGCAACAGCAACAGCAACAGCAACAGCAACACAGTTTTATGCATTTATTGCTGATATTTTTCATCTATTAATAAAACATTATTCTTCTGCTTTTGCACTAGGAGTACACTATTATGCCATCGTCGACAAATATTGACCAGCCTTCAGCAGGAGATCAGCAAAGTGTAAATAATCTTACTGCTGCTAGTAACGATGAACCGTTCGATATTCCAAGGGCTACAGGTACGTTGAATGTGAATGCTTTATCCACATCTGAGATAGACAGTTTAAATAATTATAAATCAATGGACCCAAAACAAAAGAACAATAATAACAGCAGTACTGTTAATAAATCATTGGATGATCCGATCCAGTTCACTAGAGTAAGCTCATCATCTGTATTGTCATCTTCAAATAATTCAAATGAATTTCAATTTGGCGAAAAAAATAACAGTAATGATGATGACGATGATGAATTAATAGATAACAACAATAACAACAACAACAATATTACCAGTAATATCAATAATAATACATTCACTAGTAACGATATAACGAACTCTACTATAAATACTACAAGTAATAACAATACTACATTGATACAGGATATTGAATCATCATCAACAAATTTCAATAGTACTACTAATAATAACAACAACAACAGTAACAGTCATACTAATATATTGAATAATGATAGCCCTATAACGATAACAACCCCAAATTCAAAAAATATTGTACAATCTCCAACAACTGCAAAACCTTTAAAGAAAAGTTCTCGTAGTAAACCGAATACCCCAAAACCAACACCTTCATCATCTACTACACTTTTATCAAATAGCAGTAAACCAAGAAAAATTTCACAAAGTAATTCGTCCAGTAGCAGTTTGTCAAGTAATAGTAAACAATTTGGGAAAAATAAGAAAAGTAATAGTAGTACAAGTATCATGAAAGGCGTCTTTTCATCATTTGTTAACAATATAAAAAGAAATTCACAGGACGATAAAAGATCTTCCAGTGGATCAATTAAAATCTCAACACCTTATAACGCAAAACATTTACATCATGTTGGTATCGATTCAAAGACTGGTGAATATATAGGTTTACCTGAAGAATGGGAAAAATTATTAACATCGAGTGGTATCTCAAGAAAGGAACAACAACAGAATATGCAAGCTGTCATAGATATTGTTAGATTCTATCAAGATGTCTCAGAGACAAATGGTGAAGACAAAGTCATTAAGACATTCGATGTCTCCAATTCTACTTCCTCTTTATCAAATAGAACAGCATCAAGTTCATCGTTCACTCCTGAACTCCAATCATCATCTCATAACAATATTTCAAATATTGAAAATAGTAACCATTCTAATGCGCAATTTAACATTACACCTAAATCTGAACAACAAGATTTCATGCAAAGGACACCAATTAACGATTTCATGACAACACCTCAAATGAAACCACATTCCACTAATGACAAGTTTATACCATCAAGACCCGCACCTAAACCTCCTCAAACACAACATGGTTCAAAAATTACACCATCAGTCCTAAATAAATCACCTGCCTTACCAATACAATCCCCAATAACGCCTAAACCGGCAACCCCATCTCACAAGAAGTCTCAATCTCAAAAATCTTCTCCATCAGTTTCATCTACACCTTCGAAAATGGCTACCTTTAAGAAGGAATTACAACCATTACCTCCAATCCCACAAGAACATTCTCCAACAACTTTGAAAGATGAGAAATCAGATGAGGTAAAAGATCAAGTTGGTACAATGATTCCAAAAATTCCAAAGACAACTCCAAGGACCTCTGCAAGAACAAGATCTGTTTCTAGGGAAGCTTCAAAGAAGGCAAGTGAAAAGAAAAGAGAGGAAAGGGAAAGACATAAAAAAGAGGTATATGCTAAATTGGCCACGATATGTTCTGAAGGTGATCCATCTAAGAAATATACAAAATTAATAAAAATAGGTCAAGGTGCATCAGGTGGTGTATACACTGCTCATGGTATTTCTACAAATGCTTGTGTTGCCATTAAACAAATGAATTTGGATAAACAACCAAAGAAGGAGTTAATCATTAATGAAATTCTAGTTATGAAAGGTTCCAAACATCGTAATATCGTTAACTTCATTGATTCTTACATATTAAAGGGTGACCTGTGGGTTATCATGGAATACATGGAAGGTGGTTCATTAACAGATGTTGTTACTCATTGTATTTTAACAGAAGGACAAATAGGTACTGTGACAAGGGAAACTTTACAAGGTTTAAAGTTTTTACATTCAAAGGGTGTTATTCACAGAGATATTAAGTCTGATAACATTCTGTTATCAATGGACGGTGACATTAAACTTACCGATTTCGGTTTCTGCGCTCAAATCAACGAATTAAATTTGAAGAGAACCACTATGGTGGGAACACCTTATTGGATGGCTCCAGAAGTTGTTTCAAGGAAGGAATATGGACCAAAGGTTGATATATGGTCTTTAGGTATTATGATTATTGAAATGATTGAGGGTGAACCACCGTACCTTAATGAAACACCACTAAGGGCGCTATACCTAATTGCCACCAATGGTACTCCTCAATTAAAGGAACCTGAAGCTTTAAGTGATATATTGAAACATTTCTTAGATTGGTGTCTAAAGGTGGAAACGGATGAAAGAGCTTCTGCATCCGAGTTGTTGAGTGATCCTTTCATAACAGAATACGCTGATGATAACATTTCTCTTGCTCCGTTAGTCAAATTAGCAAGAATGAAAAAATTACAGGAATCTATGGATAGTAATGACGAAAATAGCGATTTTGAAAATGACAGCCATAATTTCCCTGATGCGAATACTGAAGTGAACGAGTCAAACAAAATCCAGTAATTCACTTCAAAACAAGGACTATTTTACTATTTAATTGTAATACGAATCTGATTTGTGTTTTTACGTTCTTACAGTTGTATCATTACATTTAATACAGACAATCAATTTTAGACTGACATAATTCTAACCAGTCCTACATATTACCATTATTACTTAGCTTTAAATATACAATAATAAAAAAAAAATGCATGATAGATATTAATATATTTTATATATTTTTCCCTGAATTAAAAGTTATATATCATCTGACGAACTGTCAAACGTATTTTCTTCTGGAAGTTCAACTTTACCTTTGGTGGTAACTTGGACAAAAAATAAAGAGGTTTCACCATCATCTATATTTTTAAATTTATAATCTTTAAATGGTGGAATTTGGAATGTTGTTCCAATGGGACATAAAAACGATTGTCCTTCTATCCAAGTCTTTAAAATACCTCTTGTCACGTGGAATGTAACAAAGCACCCTCCTGTATTGTCCTCTGATTTAATACCATCCTTAGGGAGTGTTAAGTTCCCACTTGAAAAATTTCTTTGATCATCAAAGAGTGTATCTAGAGTATATCTGTTAAATCGGGATGTTTTAGTTTTACTTACCTCTCGAAAGTCCGGTGCCAAGGCTACAGTCGTACTAAGTGCATCTGAGTTTTCAGAGCTATTTTGGAACTTAATACTAAACGTTCCATCTTTTAACCATTGAGCATTCTTATCATCACACACTGCAACATTTTTTAATGTACAATTTCGATCTAATTTTTTGGTCGATCGTTTGGTATTTGGTATTTTATTCTCCTGTTTTTCTGCAAATGTAATAATTTTATCAATATCTAATACCTGTTGTGGATGATTTCTTTTATACACAATTTTCTCATTTCTCCAGTAATCGAGCTTCGGTATTTTAATTCTTTTCGATTTCCTAATTTGACCTGTTGGTCGTATTAATCTTCGTTCAACTATCGAGTGCTGAGAAATATGTTCATCATCTGGCACTACTTCAATATCCTGTGAGGCGATAGCACTAAATGAATTTCCAGAAGTAATCTCTGAGTTTCTAGCTTCAATTTCTTCCTCCAGTAAAGCATTCTCAGAAGTGTTAAAAGAAGTTTCCTCTCTGGAGACATCTGAGATATTAGTAGATCGTAGATCTGGAATACTGATGGAATCATTTGGTTTATCATCTGCATCATTCACAGATATCTCATTTTCAGATTCCAAATTATAATTAGTTTCATATGACTCTTGGAAATTGTTTCCTATTATATTATTTAACTCACTCTCATCTTCCTGAATGATATGAGGAATTTCCAAATTCAGCGATGAATTTCTTACAGGATATTTTGACGTTGTAACTGTTCTTTGCCGATTCGTTTCTGATGGAGTATGTTGTCGCAATACATTTTCTCGATATTTATTGAATACTTTCTGAGCCGGAGTATTCATTATGCTACTTGTCTCTGTAACGTTAAAGAAATCATCAATATTTTCCATGCTATGTTCATCTTTCTGAATCGCCTTTGTTGGTACCCAACCAGTTTTCCTAGATCCTTTTCCCCATTCCATGTATTCCATTTCCCCTACTCCTTCCTACAAAAAAAAGTACGATATAATTTCAGGGAATTGGATCTGAATATACAACCTACTGTTGTCCCTTTGATTAATGGAAAAACTCTGGTTCAGGTACCTTTTGAAGTCATGACTTTAAGACTTTTATTGCTTTGTTTACCTTTTCGGAACCAAATAAATTTGTGACATAAATATTAGGGTTTTATTCAGGAACCCTAAACCCTACTAGTATGAGAAATAATTTCTAAAGGGATAAATAATAATAGTAACAAAGTAGTCGAGATTTCCTATTATAGGTTAAAAACTGATCAGTTGCATAAAATTATTGTTTAGGATATATACCTGGTTCATAGGTACTAGTAAAAACCAAAATAATCGAGCCATTCTTTATTACTTTGATTATAGACAAATAATTTCCTGTTATGAGTTTAGTCCCCTACAACAATGATTCACTTATATTGAAGGATTCTAGCTCCAAATCATTAATGATTGTAAATCCTTCTCTGGGTGAATTATCTTATTTTAAACAGATACTAACACCAAGGAACAATGAGACAAAGTTTGATCAATTTTCAGCAGAAGAAGAAAATTTAACTGAGGAGAAGGATCTATCTTCATATGTGTGCCCTCAATGTGGCACAGAAATAGATACATCATCTCAACACCGAGCATTACCCAAATATCCAAATCAAAGAAGAAGTTCGAAACAACCTTATGGATTCAATCTGTCTAAAAGATATTTTAAATTACTGCAAGATACATACAGCCAACAAACTCTACCGAGGATAGCAGCTGAAAGCACCAAGTTCCCCACTTTTATACCAGATGATCTATTCATTCCTGGTTATTTTAGGAAATTTTTCACTACATTATCACTGCTAGGTACAGGAGCTAGAGGATCAGTGTTTAAGGTTGTTCATAAAATTGGTGATACTGATTTAGGTATCTTTGCATTAAAAAAAATTTCCATTGGGAATGATATGACTTGGTTTAATAAATGTATAAGGGAAGTCAAAGCGCTTAGTTCGTTTACCCACAGGAGTGTCAATCTAATAACCTACAATCATGTTTGGTTAGAAATGGATACATCATATGGGTTAACTACACAGAATGAGGAAAGAGAAAAAATACCCTGTTTATTCATCTTACAACAGTACTGTGAAGGTGGAAATTTAGAAGATTGTATTTTAATTGATATCTTTAAAAAATTTCCAGAGAAAATATCAAGTGAAGAACGTAAGAAACGTTTTAGACGAATGAGAAGGGATAGGCACGACGGTAACACGAAACTAGGTCTTACAACCATTCAAATTTTGTCAATAATAAGGGATATAGCAAGAGGGTTACATGAATTACATGATATTGGCATTATACATCGAGATTTGAAACCATCAAACTTGTTGTTATTAAACAAATATAAAGAATCTGAATCTGGGCTACAGGTTGAAGAAAATGATGATACAAACGATCATGATTCAAGGGAGCCAAAAAACGTGTTCCCAACAATTGTAATCGGAGATCTTGGTGAGAGTCAACTTGCTGGAGAGTCAAGAGTTGGAACAGGCTGTACAGGTACACTAGAGTTTACAGCTCCAGAAATTGTTATTACAAACCCTTTGAGTAACGAAAAGGGAAAGAAATACAGCGAGTACACTTTCGCTTCTGATATGTATTCTTTAGGAATGATATGCTACTTTATCGTGTTTGGAGAATTACCATTTGATCCGTCGCTAGAGTTACCAGATATGAGAAGAACGGTGAAGAAATTCAGAGTTTATAAGGAAGATATGATTCGATTACATCAAAATAAAAATCTGAATCAAATTGACCATAGAATATTTGAGTTGATTGAGTCATTATTATCAACCGATGTGGAAAGACGACCTCATGCTAAACAGGTTGAAGAGATTTTAAACCATATTCTTCTTGAAGTAGATGATGATGCAATGTTTCCTTTAGGAAGAAGATCCAGTATAACACCCCTGGATGATAGTTTTGACGAAGATGAGGATGACCAATTCAATGTAGATAGTACAGAAAATAAGTTTTTCGATGAAGAACAAATTGAAGAAAACGAAGATAAATTAGCACTAACTACCACAAGGGCCAGGCTAAATATGATATCTGAAGAAGAAATAGAAATCTATACGAAATATAAAAATCATGATAATAAAAATATATCTGAAAATGAGAAACAATTTCGCTTTATATCCCAGTTTGGTAACATATCTACTAGGTTAAATATTACGTTCCCTATTGGATTATTACTGGTATGGTTAGTTCCAACAGAAACAATTGTAAATTACTTAATTATTTTTCTTTTGGGAATATCTATTGGTGCAAGAGACGCAACATCTAAGTATATTAAAATCATTTTGTTACTTCTACTTGCCATTAGGTTAGGTAAAATATATATTGCGGCTTTATAAATAAACTACATACATATATACTACTTTGTATGCATATACACACAAAAATTAGTCTAATGTACACCATGGTCTATTATTGTTAATTTGATGCTGACACAATGTTGGTTCTAATTTCATACCTACCAGTGCAGCTAATAAAATACCTAGGGAATCTGCTATTGATACAGAACCCAATGCGAATTCCCTGTCCTGTGGTCGTACATTACTTAAAACATTCAGGAATGTATTGACGTACGAAGAACCACCCAATAAACCTTCATACACAATCAATACCATGATAGACCATGGTTGATGCACAATATAATTCGTTGATTGTAACAAGACAATGAAGAGATTGATTGCTTGCAAGAACGACAATATATATAACTTCTTGACCCTGAAGCTATGGGCAGTCGACCTAGAAATGAAAACACCTATTTGATAAAGAATACTATAGGTAACATAATAGTCCCTATATTTATGGAACAACGATAAATGCGACATTGAATTTTCATCAGGAGTGGCTATTGGAAATAATAGTGTTGGCGACACTGCCTGATTAATCAAATATTCAAAGAAATAGACAGTTGTTAGAGGTAACATATATGGCACAACTAATACCTTCAATTTTGCCAATGTCTCAAGAACATGAGAAGAAATTGATTCTTCATTTGAATGGTCACCAATAAATACACCCAGTTCCGGTTCTAATTCCGGTGCTTCAATATCAATGGTTGTTATCTCTGGATTTGGAAGAGCTTGATATTCGACATAAGTACCTAGTCTGAAATATAACAAAAAACCAAAGGGTAATATAGAAAACAATAACAACGATATATGAATTGGAATGTGTAACACTGTAGTTACTAGCCAATAGACTGCACTTCCGAAGAGACCTGCACCTCCTGTTCCTGAAGACCAACCATTTAAAGATATCTCTTTATACATGTGTGTTAGTTGTAGAAAAGTTACTTCACCAAAACCTGAAGAAAGTGAGGCTAATCCTACACCAAGGAGACAAATCCAAAGATCCTTCAAAGATACTAAGATCATTCCAACACAGCTGAGGATGATCAACAATATTATTCTATATCCATATCGAATTCGTTGAATGAAAAACGGTGAAAGTAACTTGATTGTTAATGATGGCAATATATCTACCAATAGAACTAACGATTTTGGAATATCAGTATCTACTATGTCGATTGCAGCCGAAAGTATCACCACATAAAGAATGTTATTGATAAGACCAAAAATCCAGAAGCAAAGATAAATGGTACTATTTGGACTTAAAGTTTGAAAATTGCGAATCCATTCCGAAAACTTGTTAAAGGTCATATCTGTTTCATCTTATATTGCTATTACTTTGATTGTATTTTTCGCATCTTAAAGTAAAATTTATAGAACTTTGTTAATAGGGAAATTAAAGGGAAGATGATAGTCCGAAATAAATATGTCAATAGTTTCGTTCACTTTCCGAGTTGGGAGAATAATCAATACGCAAAATCTTTTAAAATATTAAAATCAAAGTAATGATGTTGAGATTACTAGACTGAATGATTTAATTCTTTAGACTTACACAGGTGTTTGCTACTCACTATATATACATATATATTGCACGATAATCTAGAGGAGTCATATAAAATCGAATAGTGGCTACCCACCCAGGTCTCCTCAATTTGTAAGAAACCTAATGTTTGAACGATATAGAAACTTTATAATGTAATTTATAGTAACCTTGTTTTGTCATAATTATTATTCTTTTTTATCTCATTTACAATCAATGAGGTTTATAAATATTTATATATTAGTGAATTTACAAATAATCCTTTAGGAGTCTTAACCTTTCAACTGTTTTTTCCAAATATTCATCATCTTTACATAGAGCAAATCTTAACAGATTTTCAGCTGCCTTTTCATGTTCTTTAATATAGAATTCCGTTGGTGGGATGGCCACAACACCCAACTCGTTCATCAACCAATAAGAAATACGGAAATCCTTACCCTTTTGCAACAATTCCTCCGGGAATTTATAATCAGCTGGAATGTTTACTTTAGCAAAATTGACAAGGATGAAATAAGAACCTTCTGCAGCAGTATATGGTAAATTTAATTCATCAAAAACTTTTGTAAAAATTTCATATTTACGAATATATTCTTGTCTCATGTTTGAGAAATAATTAATCTTAGACGCATCAGTAAGACCATTAGCGACAGCTTCTTGTAGTGGAGAAGGAGAAGAGAAACAAATTCTAGTGTGTGCTTTAGCGGCATAACCAAGTAATTCTTCATTTAAAGAGACAGTCCAACCAATTCTCCAGCCGGTAGCCGCAAAGGATTTACCTGCAGAACCGACTGTTAAAGTCAATTGACCAATCTCTGGAGATAGAGTTGCGATCCTAGTGAAGCTTTCAGTAAAGTATAAATGTTCATAAACTTCATCAGAGATGATGACAATATTATTCCTCACACACAATTCACCTAATCTCAAAAGTTCTTCCTTAGTGAAGACCTTACCAATAGGATTATGTGGAGTATTAATAATCATAGCTTTAGTTTTTGAATTTATGGATTTTTCTAGAATATCCCAATCAATTTCCCATTCTGTACCTTTAGTGACTCTTTCATTAAGAGCCTTTGGAGGGTTAATTGGTACGTAGACAACTTTACCACCACACATTTCAATGTTTGGGATATATTGATCGAAGAATGGTTCGAAGACAATAACTTCGTCACCTTGATTCAATAGACCAGTAAGACAACTTAAGATAGCCTCATTAGCACCAGTGAAGACCGAGATATTTTCTGGTTTCAATTTTGTAGAATAAATAGGGTTATAAAATTCAATCAGAGATTTAATCAAAGAGGGACGGCCTCTAGTTGGAGAATATTGATTCACCAAGGCAATATCCAAGGCGTTCTTAGCTTCATTTATAGCGAATTCAGGAGGAGCATATGAGAAGAAACCTTGACCAAGATTCAACATATCTCTACCTTTATTTTGAGCGTTTGTAGCAGCCAATGCAGCGGATTCGTTAGTCAAAGTCCAAACATCCTTACCTGTATCACGAGAGAAGTATTTGTTGGCGACAATCTTTGGTTTATGTGAAAGAGTCATTGCTGATGTTTTAAAAGTTCTGATGAGGTTACGTGACATATAACGTTCTTAAAATAAGAAAGATGTTACAGTAATTAATACTCAATATTTATCTCTTAAAACTAGTTAAACTACAAAATAAGAATTAGCAAAAACAAAAAACAATCGGAGCAAACCTCAAATCAAGTATAAAGCGATTCGACTCCTAAAGATTTCACCATTAGAATCTCATCATCAAAGCGTTTATATACTTTCACAATAGTTCGTCTTCTTGAGTCACACAGACAGACAGAGACAGACAGAGACAGACAGACACATAGCTTATGGTAATCAAATCAATCATTCATGGCAACTCTTTCAGTTTGAGCAAAAAACTGAGTGAGGCAGACAGACGTCCTCCAGTAACACACAGAGAGAGTCATTTTACATAATCGCAGTTTGGGGAGCCGGCAACGGAATTTTTCAAACTGGGAAAAATGCGTGCAAAACTGTGGAAACGACTGCGCGGTCACGTGGCCACTGTGGGATGCAAACGTGTGGTGTGCTACTCCTCGAAGGTGCTTGAGTTGGTACTACTCGAACCTATTGGTATACTTATTGGTATGTGAGTTATGTGATTTTTATATACGTTTTATATAGATGCTGGTGTTGAGGGGTTGGAGGTATGGAATCTAGGTGGGAGGAGGGGATTATGCGCCGATCTTGGAACTGATCTTCTGTAGTTCCGTATTACATTCTTTGATGACCGCAGCGTCACCTTCTAGTATAGTACGTAATTCTCCCCATTCTCTTTCGGTCTTGCTTTGGGTGTCCTTAGACTTCTCTTGTAATTTGCTCAATTCTCTCTTTACAAATTCAAGTTGCTCCTGTAATGCCTTTTGACTATGCACAAAATCATTAAACTTGAATATTTGATTTCTGATTTCTTTGAACCATGTAACCTCCTGAATACTGATAGTGTTATCGTTGGTCAATGCTGCAACGTTTGCTTTACTAACCTGCTGGTTCAAGTTGACTAATCGCATGATTAATGCGTCCTGTTTTGCCATCTTAGTGGAAAGTATTTTTATTTGTTCCTCATATCTATCGACAAGTGTATCTTGCTTTTCAATAATATCACTTGTACCCTTGATCTGTTTAGTCAATTCGAATTGTTGTTCTAATAGTCGAGAATGTAACATCACGCCGAGACTTTCACCTTGAACAATAACATTACCTAATTGAGACGACAGTTTCGTTAACGCTTCCAATTGAATTTCGTTAGCAGCATTGGATAACTCTTTGCCTCTCACTTCAGGGGAAATAACCTCAGAGAACGGGTTTGAACAACGTCTAATGTAAGCAGTTGTAAGGTCCCGAATCTCTTGTATTGGTTGCGAAAAACCGGCCTTGAATTTAATTGTTTCAGTAGGAAGAACCGGGGAATCTTCTCTTGTTTGGGTAGGTTCCTCAATAATTTGAGGCAATTTCAACAGTTCTGCCCTGACACAACCGGGACCTGCCACTATAACACCTGTCTTACCCTTATATCTCCATACTGCACATCCAGAAGGGTCACTCCTTATACCATCCATATGTTTAATATCACTAGAAAATGTTGTCCCTGCAACCTGTGATAGATCATAATCTGTAACAGCTTTATCTAGAACACGACCCCAACTTGACATATTGATCAGATCAAGACCAATTCTACTTTTTACAGTTACCAGGAGTCGATTACGTTCATTGAAATCTTTAAATATTTTTAATTCTCCATTAGATCCAATTAATTTTACAAAATGATCAATTCTTTCTACTACTACCATTGAATTTGAATACACGTAATTTTCAGAATCCCAACACATAGACATTTCTTCATCTTGATATAATATTAATATGGTACCATTCTCAAAAAGTAGAGCAAACACTTCTGTAGAGTTTTCAATATCTACTCTATGAATCTCATTGGCAGTAGTCTCGTAAAGATCGGTCGGATATGGAGAAATAGTAAATGGACCTTGAGGTTGAACGACACGTAAATTAGAATCAATCTCAAACTCAGTCCTTTTTGTCTTGGAATTATCTGAATACATTCTTGATATAAATTTGTACTGCCTAATAACATTACTTTTAACGTCATCCTTTGTATCTTCGTCCAAAGAATCATACAATAACACAGCTTTATCTCTGGTCCTTTTCAATTCAGCCGCGTCCATAATTATCTTAGCAGGTAGACATGGATACAGAGCATATATATCCCCACCATCTGTGACACTCAATAAATACAATGTCAAACCGTCTTTACTAAAAGTCATGCTTTTTATATCATTAATTCTCCCATTGAAACCAAAACTACCTTCGCATTTATTTAAAACAACTTGGTTTTTTGTATCCAGATCGAATAAAACAACCGTATCATCCTCGAACAAAATAACTAATGAATTATCATCGATGGCTCTTGGATGAAACAATATTTGCCTGATATTAGAGAAATTATCAAATGTAAATACTTCTGATTGGAAACCAAATGCCATATGTTTCTCGATATCTTCATAACCCCATGGAACCTCAACTGTCTTCAATGTATTCTTGAAAAAGATGCAGATCATATTCTTCGATGTAGATATAGAGAAATGCTGATCGCCAAAATTATTCAGAGGTTCAATAGGCATTGTATTAAATTTCTCCTTTTGATAATTCCCCCAGCGCAAACAATTTTCGCTTAGTGTCACCAATTGACTAGAATCCTTACTAGAAGATAAAAATAACTCGCATGTGGCAGTTAACGGGTTTACTGGAGGTACGATGTTATTATTAAAGATTGGTTTCTTTTCCAGATCAGTCAAAGCCTCATCTCGATATAGTAGGGCCCCATTTGGTAGTAATTGATGTTGAAAATGTGCCATATTTCCCAGTTCAAAATCAAATTAAAAGGTGTGAGTAGGTTCCTATAATTACTTAATCAGTAGAATTAGATAATTGTTGACTCAATCTATTTGAAAGCTCTCTTATAAGTCTGTCAACTTCAAGGAAGTTCCAGAAGGAAGAATCGTTTTTTCTGTTTCATTTGCTTCATCCCAACTGGAAAGTCGGCCCATCGCTTCCAGAGAAGCAAACAAAAAAAAAATATCGTGATCGTTACCCTGAAACAAGGTTTTTAGTATTAAAACCTCGGTATAACTTGTGATCAGATTGATCCATTTCGTTACTATTTTTAGCCTAAACCATCATATTTTCTATCAACTTCACAAGCTTATTCATACTCAATACTCTATAAATCTATTATACATAAATTTTTACACAGATATATCTATATCTATATATATATATATAATACCTATACTAATGACACGAGGAAGCCTTCTAAGAGGCATCCGACAATGACATTCATAAATAATGTCCAACCAGCATAGTAACAAAGCTTTGGACTGAATACACTCCATATGAACAGATGGTATCTTAATGCTATACATGCAGCAAGTAACGAACATCCCACTATACAATTGAATAAGACGTATGGAATCTTGCATTTAACAAATGTATCAGTTTTACTCTTGACACTCTTATAAAGTATACCCCAAGCTAACATTGTCCAATAAATTGCTGGTGCAAAATTGGCCATCACCATAAGACCGCCAATTACATATATATTATAATTTTCGGATATACCATGGTATGCATTGACAAGGTCAATAGTAGCTATTGAATTGGTACCACCAAATTGGAAAAACGTAAAATTTTGAAGGATCAATGAAATGAGGGACACTATATATATTGAGGAATCATATTGGTCTTGGACAATCTTAATGATACAATATCTCAATATCTCGAATATCAAAAATTGTGGGATATTTGAAGATGATGACAAGAAAATCAGTAATAGTGTAATATATTTAGACATGTCGTTTAAAAGGGTGTCTGATTTTTGCATCTTTAACATGACTGCCATTATCTTAATGAAACATATCGATGAAATCGATTGGAAAAACAACGTGGCCATTGGAATCAATGCATCTTCAAACACACTATCATTATGAGTACCTGTGTAAATTTCACAGTACTTTCTGACTATTTCATGTAGGTACTCAGGAACTGACTCTTTGTTAACAATGGACCAGTTCATCTTGTAGGTAAGAACCATCATGCCAAGGGTAAAACTAGAAATGAAGGATGTAGGATTTTTTTTGAAGCCTCTCATACATAGGATAAATACAGTCCATATATTCAATGCCCATAAAAGCGACGACTTGGCCTCTAAAATGTTTGAGATAACATAACTATAAGTAGTTTGTTGACCGGTATTATTCCAACCTCTGATTAATCTCAAACAAACAAAAACAATAAAATATAATTTAAATTTCCTATTTCCTATGATGGTAGAATGAATATATCCAAATACCACGAGTGCTGTAATGATCCACCACCATAATTGATGTTCCTCTTCAATAAAACTGCTACCAAAACATGAAAGCCCCAGCAAAATCGAAATCGCCATAGTTAATGCGAATGGAGGACCGAAATGCATAATTTTAATAGCACAAATAATAGCAATAATTGTCGCAATCAATAGCACCCCATATCCAACAGATATATTATCATAATTATAATCAGTAGCATTACGGATCAAATCTTGTTGAATACCCTTCATTTTGTTTATAATAATGCTTGTATCTATTTTCTTTGAAACTTTGAACTCACTAAGATAATTCTGTACATCTATTTCTTTAGCCACATCTAATAACTGTTTATAGTTTTCCATAATTTTAATGTTTGCTACTTTCTTATTCAATAATTGAATAAATTCGGGAATAAGCACCCCAACACTATTTTTAGGTATCGGGACATTGAAAAGAGAAGAAATCGTGGGTACTAAATCCATCTGCTGAATACTAGTGAGATATTGGAAAGTTGATGGATCGTCCAATGTCATTGGAACTTTAACATTTTTCTGAGCTATAGGCCTATCATAACCAGCTAGTTTCTTCGAAAGAAAAACGAGACCTGCAGAAGTTTCTCCTGCAGAAGAGCCACCATGATTACCAACATCGTTCATACCATGATCACCCATAATTATCATTAAAGTATCATCTTTCATATTATTGTAAAGTCTCTCAATAACACCATCCATTTCTCTATGCTTGGCAGGCATAAAGGTAGAATTAGAACCACCTTTGTGTCCAATATGATCCAACCCTAGGTAATGTAATATAAGAACATCCCATTCTTTGGATTCATTTAACTGCTCCGGAATATTCCTAGTCACATTCAAATCTACTTGTTCAAAATCACTTACAAAGAAAGAATTTGTACCTTCATATTTATCAAAAATATCATTTGGAAGTAATTTCAGCCACGTATCATCGCCAAAGAATCTCAACTTGAAACCGTGATTATGGAATTGTCTTGGCCATGAATCTTGATCTTTAATATTAGAAGACGAATCATCTTCTGCAACGTTTAAGATTGCGTCTAGAAAGCTTGGAGTAGACCCAGTAGTTATACCTTTCAACCTAGGTAATGTGACTGTAGGGGGATTTGAATAAGCCGTGTAGCCCCATCCCTCACCAGAGTTAATCTTGGAATGAACAAAAGAAAACCCGGAATTCACCTCGTTGTATAAAAAATCACTTCTAAGAGCATCAATAACTACCAGCACTAATTTATCAAATGGCGGTTTTGTATTTTCCTGTATCTTGGTTTCAATTGTGAAACTTGCATCACCACTTAGAACGTTCTTTTGAGGAAAGAAGCCTGATAAAAACACAAAAACTCCCACTAATTGAAGCAGCAATGGCACTATCAGCCTCTTTAACATAACTGAATGTGTCGTAGCTTAAGAATTGATAATCAGTTAACAATTCTTTAAACTATTCCATTAACCTCCCCTTCCATATTCAAATGAATGGTTTCAATGCTTCCTAAATATGCCATGGAATTTTTACTATTCGCGTTAATAATTAAAAGACGCGATTGCTATATGAACGATATAGACACCAATAATCGCAATAACAAGACGAATGTCAACGTGAGAGGGAGCTAAGAGTTAATAGCAACGTTAAGCAGTCGTTAACCATTCCCATCAATATCTAATTGCTCGGCAAGTCGATAACATTACATGTCTTGTTGTAACGGTACCAACCAAATCGACACCCGAGATGCTATTTTGGAGTCTTGGGGTGCCATTCTATTTAAAAAGAATGTATATATGAAGATTGTTAAAGGGAGAGTTCCCTTGAATGTGTGAACTTATTTTACACATTAAATTAATTATTCCACAAAATATTGTATTTCTGTCGCTCGCTCTCCTTTAATCTAGTGCCAGTTAGGATATCAGAAACACAAACTATCAGAATGGCCTTGAAACTTCTTCCCAATACCGTTTCCTGTTCCTTTAAATAAAACAATAACCAACCATAAATCTAGATGCTGTAGTTCTGATATGGATCCTTCTGGTTAAGGCTCAATTTGTAATTGGAAGTGGGCCATACTTCAAACCATGTTGACCCAATATTAGGATCTTATGGGTAATCGATGGGAAAATTGAATATTAGACATTTTCTATTTAACTGAACTAATTTTATTATGTTATAAAATCAACTTATAGTCGTCTGATTTTTTATATCTTATATAAAAATATATAAAGTAAATTATGGAAACAATTATATTCATAAATGAAATATTGTTCCATTTATATATGTCGGATTTCTTGTTGTCATGATTATAAACTGACTCAAGGGTGGCGTAAGCAATCTATTATTAAGTTGTTGCGGGATGAACCTAGCATCAGATCATAACCTTGGTCATTATCCCTCTTATAATATATTTCCGACAAGTTTAGAGTGTGTTACACTGCCGTTTATAGAATAACACATGGTATATACTGCATAATGTAGTATTCGTTCCCCATACACTGGGTTTATTGGAGCTACATTGTCCAACGTTACTATGTACAAAAGATGAGCAGTTTAACAACAGCAACTCTGTTTAACACAACAAGTGGTAGGAGATCCAAAAAAGATTTAAATTATACATGTGATCTTTATAGAAATGATAATTGTTCCCAATCCAAATCATATTAGGATCTACTCTCTTGCCAATCTGCGTCAACAAAAAATAGTAATATAAAAATATAATTATTGGTGTCTTAATGTATGCAAATAAATAACCGCAAAATATAGATTAGTCGCTTTTATGGCCAAGTTGGTAAGGCGCCACACTAGTAATGTGGAGATCCTCGGTTCAACTCCGAGTGAAAGCATTCTTTTTTTTTTGGAAATTTTGCAGTTTCAGTCACATGACGTTTATAATTGAGGACTTAAATTATGATAAAAAGTTGATATTTGAGATGATAATAATGTTAAAGGTAAGTGGTAACACCTTGACCTTCTTTGCTTGGCCCATGTAGTCTGGCTGTCTGTTCTTTAATGTTAAAATGATAAAACTTGCATCACGTCACGTCGCACGGTTTCTGGCGCCAATAAAGACAAAATCCGATGCTTCTAATTTCAAACTCAAAATATAAACAACTAATAAATAGAAAGTCATATCCGTTGAAATGGTTTGAAATGAGAAGATCAGTAGTTCTCCATTATATTGATTATAGAACCTGACATTCACTCTCCTTGACAGAGAATTACGAAAAAATTTGCATCAAAATATCTTCACTCTATTACTTTCATATATAAAACTATACCACTAGATATATAGTTCGTCTTACAAGTTAATCAAGATATATTACAATCATGAACACAGAAATAATTGGTAGCCCGTCTGAAGTTAAGGAAGATGTGGTGGTACCATCTGAGTCAATTACGTCTTTGAAAGAAGTCGTCATAGAAGAAGGTGAACATCCACCAAGTCCTGCCGAATTGGCTCAATATATGCCGGCTTTACCAATAGATAAAATTCAAATGATTGCCAGGAATGATCCAGGCTATGTTGAGCTTAATGACGATGCTTTTGCTGCGACTGCCTTTGCTACAGAATTTTTTGTTAAAACATTAACCAATGAGGCTCTTAAGTTGTCGGAATACAGATCAACAAGTAACTCAGAACCATTAGAATTGGGCTATGATGATGTAGCAGACCTCGTATCGATGCAGAAAGTGTACACATTTTTACGTGAGACCATACCTAGGACGAAGTATTTGAGGGATTTGGTTAAAGAGAATAAAGTTAGATACACAACAGTGACAGAAACTGAGCAGCAGCAGCAGCAGCAGCAGCAGCAGCAGTTGCAACAACAACATAATCATCATCATCATCATCATCAAGTGCAAGTACAACAAGAGATACAACCAGCAACTAACGAAGTCATTGAAATAGACAGCAGTGATCAAGAGTAAGAAGAAGTCACCTCTCTTTCAAGTACCTCAACCTCAATATCTTTCAATCCGTGCACCTTCCGAGCAACGATCGCTTATAATAAGGGGCTGAATGGATGAAAAGGGAAGACAAGACAATACTCAATTATGTAACACTATTAATATATAAATACATCTAATGAACAAGAAATCATATAGATACTGACACATTTCAATAAATATTGAGTAAACTTCTAACAATTATTACCAAAAAAAACAAAAAAGATGGGCCTATTTAGTAATATTGATAACAGTCAACAGGTTAATGATGAGTATGTAAAGAATAAGTTGAACCAACGTGATATATTTTCGGAGACATGGTTCAACTCCCACAATGGAGACAGTTTGGATGGGAATCCCTTAGAGACACTTGCTGGGTGGCCATTTGGATCGCTATATGGTAATGGAATTAATGTAGGTCCAACAAGTATAACTACCGTCTCCCCATTCGGGTCCAGAAACGATAATGAATATATTCATGGTGATCAAATCAAAGAGGAAGGTGTCACGGGTCTTTACAATTACAAGACTCCCTCTGATTCACAGTTTGCACAATGCATGGATTCTCAAGGATTATCGGTATGGGATACGAATGGTTGGTGGAGATGTTTGTTCCCTCAAAACATTATCAAACAGAATCTCCCAAATTTACAAGAAACAGAATCCGCTATGATTTTATCGAAGCAAAAAGTTGAAAATGATGTTAATCATAAGTTTGGTTTATATTTTACAGATTACACAAAGTATTTACTATGGAAATCACAAATGAACAAAATCATCAATGATAAACGTGAGAAAGAAATTGAAAATCCACAGAAACTTCAAACAAATAAATTTACTAACCAGAAAGACGAAAATGAACCTGCTACCATGACACCAGAAAGTCTCATGTTAAGTGACGATTCTGCCTTATCTGCATCCAAAAAGGATAAATCGATTGTCGGCACATCTGAAGTGCTCAGATCAAGTATGTCCAGTGATGGATTGACCGAAGAAACTAAAGAATTGAAAACTTTTTACGATGATGGGTCTATTATATTGAAGACAGAAAAGAAAGTGACACCGCAAGATGGTGGTTCCCCTCGTTTGGAGACTCACGAAAGGGTCCTCAGACAAGGCAGGGACGAGTTATCAAAAGGGTTCCCCTTCTGGTCACGTAAAAGATAGTTAGCTAGGCAATATTCCTCGTCACTCACATTCTTGTTTATACTTCTTAACATATATATATATATATATATATATATTCAATCTCACAGTTCAATCGTAACGTGTTCCAGAGTCAAATAATTGAGAGTTTCCTTTTCCCTCTCTCTTTGAAGAGGTATTATGTTTTTATTTTTTTTCCACCTATCGCTAATTACCAAATATTTACGTATATCTGGATATTTCTGATAAGAAGAACTTGAGATATATATATATACAGACACACAGACACACAGACACATTCAAGTTGTCAAGACCAAGAGAGAAGAGCAATCGCTATTTTTATATAAGTCTGTATCACCGTCAATTGAATAAATTATTATGATGAGTTTCAAGATCAAGGAAGAAATTAGATGTGCTGGAGGTAAATTGCTGAAAGTGATGCACTCGTCAAAGGCTACGGGGACATCAATGGATGTTAACCTATATTTGCCACAACAATACTACGATGGTACTGCTAAGGGTAAAATTCCTAGTTTGTACTTCTTATCTGGTTTAACATGTACCCCAAACAATGCCTCTGAAAAGGCATTTTGGCATAGAGAAGCCGATAAGTATGGGTTTGCTATGGTATTTCCTGACACATCACCAAGAGGTCCCAATGTTCCAACTGATCCACAAGGTGGATGGGATTTTGCTGTTGGTGCTGGATTTTATGTTAATGCTACTCAGCCACCTTACAATACAAACTTCAACATGTACCAATATGTTCATTCTGAATTGCCAACTGCTTTAACTGAATTCTTTAGTTCCGGTACTAGACCAACAGGCGTTGGCTCTATTGATTTCCTCGAGAATGTTTCAATTACAGGACACTCTATGGGTGGGTTTGGTGCTGTTGCAGGTTTCTTAAAGAATATCAATAAATACAAGTCATGTTCTGCTTTTGCTCCAATTATTGATCCAACTACTACCCCATGGGGCGTAAAGGCATTCACTGGATATTTAGGTGAGGATAAATCTGCTTGGAAACAATATGATCCCTGTGAATTGATTAACAATGTTCCATACGTTTCAGGTAAAGAGATTCTAATCCATTACGGTACAGATGACCAATGGAAGGAACAATATTTGAGACCAGAAAACTTCATGAAATTGGTGCCTCAAAGTTTGTGGGCTAACCATATCAATGTCAAGATGGCTGAGGGATTCGATCACTCTTATTATTTTGTGTCTACTTTCGTCCCAGAGCATGCGGAGTTCCACGCCAAACACCTTGGGTTGATCTAATGGAGAGTACATAGTCAGTGCTTCCAAACAACTACTACATATTCTGCTGGTATATACTAAATATATATAGATATAAACATAAATATATGATAGTATAACGATACAACCATCGTCAAGAGAATATAATATCTGTGTGACGTTTGGGTGAATGGTTATTACAGTCGAGAAATCACGTGCCGCACAGCGAAAAAAAATTTTCGCTGTCTGAAAAATTTATTTGGAAAGAAAAATCGATGAGCATCTCTCATTTGGGAACCAAGAACACATCTAGTGATATAAGTTGGTTCACAAGAAAGATATTATACGGGGATAATATTGTTGGTTTGTAGTGTCTGACTGTTGCAAGATATATCACCAGAAAAGGATAGTATTACTTTCAAAGGGATATCATATAGAAGTACTGAAAGAGTATGTCTAAAGTCGATATAGATTACGTTGTGCCTCCTCCAGATGAAGAGGAAGAATTATTAGCAAAGATTGTCTTTGGTGATTCTTCTGATTTTCAAGAGAATCTAGCTAACTTTTCTGCCGATTTTCTGTTAGGTGAGAAAGAGGATGAATTAGATAATATGGCTGCAGATGCATCTGCTGATGATGATAATACAAGTGATGAGGATGAAGAAGCTGAAATAGAACATGTCAACGATGACCAATTGTTTTTCGTGGATGATGGTGAAAATGAAAATAACGATGATGACTCTAAGATGGACATTGATGAAGAAGAAGGGAGCGGCATTATTTCTTCCGATCAAGAAAGTTCCGAAGATGAAGATAGTGATGCATGGGAAGATTCTGATGATGAAAGATTAAATGTTTCAGTGATGGATAATAACAGATCCAAAAAATTAAGAAATTCTTACAATGACAATGTATTATCTGGGAAACAATATGTTCGTAGATTAAGAGCTCAATTCGAAAAGATATACCCAAAACCGCAATGGGTCGATGATGAGGATTCCGATTTGGAAGAACATGGGGATGATATGTCTGATGACGAGAACAATGATGACAGAGAGGAAGTTATTAACGCAGATATTCATGCACTATCCAAAATTTTACAAAGCACTTACTCTTACAAGGATACAACTCAATCAAAGTTATTACCTGTAAAATCTTTAGACATTCTGAGATTGAAGGACGCCAATATGGCACATCCAGCTCAATCAGCTATACAATCTCTATCGTTCCATCCTACCAAACCTTTATTATTGACTGGTGGTTATGATAAAACCTTAAGAATATACCATATCGATGGGAAACATAATCATTTGGTTACTAGTTTGCATTTGAAAAGTACACCAATTCAAACTTGTACCTTTTATGTAACACCACAGCAAATCTCTAAAAAGAAACAACACCTAATTCAAGAACAAAAAATTTTCACTGGTGGTAGAAGGCGTTATATGCATTCTTGGGACCTATCATCTTCTATTATAAATTCAAGCAATAATAGTTCTATCGCTAAAGTGGAAAAACTCTCAAGATTATATGGTCATGAAGCTACACAAAGATCGTTTGAGAAATTTAAACTAGCCCATTACTATAACACAAAGAAACATGAAACACATGGTATCATTCTATTACAAGGTAATAATGGTTGGGTGAATGTTTTGAACGCAACCTCAGGGATTTGGATGATGGGTTGTAAGATTGAGGGGACAATTATCGATTTTTGTATAGATTACAAGCCTCTATCAAACAATACTTTCCGTACTATCCTAATAGCTACTAACACATATGGTGAAATCTGGGAATTCGATTTAACTAATAATGGTTCAGTTTTAAGGAGATGGAAGGATGAAAGTGGTGTTGGTGTCACATGTATCCAAGTTGGTGGTGGTTCAAACTCTGCTCATCTGAATGGTTCTGGACTATCACATCAAACAGTCGCATCAAATAGATGGTTGGCCATTGGTTCAAGTAGTGGGTTTGTCAATATATATGAAAGAAGGAATAGCGATGATCCTGAAGTAATCCCAACCCTAGTAGGTACAATGGATCAATTGACAACATCGATATCCTTCTTACAATTTTCTCCAGATGGTCAAATATTATGTATGGCCTCTAGGGCTGTGAAAGATGCTTTAAGATTGGTTCACCTCCCATCATGTACAGTATTTTCCAACTGGCCTACTAGTGGTACCCCTCTAGGTAAAGTAACAAGTGCTACTTTCTCTCCTCGTGGTGAAATGTTGGCTGTTGGTACTGAACAAGGTAAGGTTAGATTATGGAGATTGAATCATTACTAGAAGAATAAAAATATATCCGCATATAGCATTATCTAGATTTTTAATAATAAATTCAAAAAAAAATAATCGAAGAGCGTAATCAAGTATATATTTATATAATAGTACAAATGACATTTACTGACACTAAAGTTCAAGAAAATATTATAAATATAGGTCTAAGCTTCTATCAAAGGAAAACGCCTCGTTATACACGATGTTAGTCATGTAAATGTTCAAAAAATAAGCTCGCACTCAGGGTTGAACTAAGGACCAACAGATTTGCAATCTGCTGCGCTACCACTGCGCCATACGAGCTTTTCTGAATATTTCATATATTTCTGTATAATTTATGTAAATTAAATATTTGACTTAATTTTGTTGAAATGTAGCGGAAGCACTAAAAAGGCTAATATTAGCCTAACATATCTGAAGGTAAAGGTAGCTAATATAAGTAGAATTTAGAGTGTGATACACTACCGTATATAAAATAACATGGTATATACTGCATAATGTAGTATTCGTTCCCCCTACATTGGGTTTATTGGAGCTACATAGTCCAACGTTACTATGCACAAAAGATGAGCAGTTTATCAACAGCAACTCTGTTTAACATGATATATATCACTCTTAATTTCTGACAAAAATGCAGAAACTAAATGAATAGAACAGGTATAATCCTATTTAAATGCAAATATGTGAATATATAATAATATGTATGTTTTAATTTAACTTCCTTGATTTTCGTCTAAATAGGAAAATCTGTTGCTGTATTCTTTGCCTGAATGTTTTTATAGTCTTCGCTATGTGTTGTAAAGTTTGAGAATAGGTAATTAACCCACCCCATGATGTCCTTTTTCAGTTCCGCAAATAAGCCTGCATCCATTACTTTGATACAAATACCTTTATAGCACTCACCCTTATTGTTCTTCATATTCTCTAGACAACAGTCAAATTTAGTTTCGTCAGATACACATTTTAGAGCAGTAGCGACATCACTATTTTGTTCTACTAGTGCTCTCTTAACATTTGCTAGTCTAGAGTCAAATTGTTTGATACTGTCTTCCACATCTCTCATTCTAAACTCCAACAGTCTTACATCATATTTCAACTTCGATGTTAGTGAATTGATTTCGTTAATCTCGGTGTATAATAAATTCTGTTTATTTTCTAGCATACTTGCGTTTCTCTCAAATTTAATAGAATGGCTAGCGTATTTGTCGTGATTTAATTGTAATTGTTCCTTTAAGTTCTTAAATTTCTCTTCCGCTTCGTGATCATCAAAATCGTCGGAATGAGGAGCGAAAATACTCTCTTGCATTTCATCAATTCTTTGTTTCGTTGCCAAACGAGTCTCTATGAGTCGTAGATTTCTAGCCACTTTCACCACAGATGCATCAAATGGTAAATCCCATCTTTCTACGGCTTTGCTAACATCTGAATACGATGACGATCTGTATAGTTTACGAGCCTTGCTAATGACCCCATTTAAGTCCTGGAATAGATCTTCATGCATCAAATCATTTACCCTTGGGAACGAGTTTCTTCTATTGTATTCATCAAAATGTAATTTGTTCAAATCAAGATTGTTGGCATATTTTGATTTATCATAATTACAAAACATCGAAGACACTGTATGATTATATTCTGAAGAAGAAGATGTACTCTCCATACCATCTGTTTCTTCCATATCTATTGGTAATTCTCTACTCTCTACAAAGTCATTAATGTCAAATTTTTTAGAGGTTCTGGATTTTTTTTTTTTCAATTTTCTTTGAATATCTTCTTCAATTTGTTTCTTCTTCAATTCACTTTGAATCATTAGTTGTTTCTTTGGATTACCCTTTTCGAATTTGAAATTATAGAAGTTGGACATGTGATTATCGAATAGCATTACTGTCTTTGATTTCCCTTTCCCTTTCCATAATAGACCCAATGTCCCACCATGTATATTACTGACCAATGAATCCAATTCCGTAGTAAGAATTTCGTTGGACAAAGTGATAGGGTTCCCTTTCCCTGTTAAATCTTGAACTCTTGATTTCACTATTTTTTTAAATTTAATAATATCATGATGTGAATATTTTTGTGTTACTTCAAACAATTTTTCTACTGTAACAACATCCAATTTCCCTGTCACAACTGGATTACCAGCTAAATTATATTTTCTTTGAAATAAACGAACAGCATTACCAAATTCTTCTTTATCAAAGGGATCCTTACTGTTCATACAATCTTCCAATACCAATTTAAAATAACAACTTAATACTAGACTGAGTATCCCAGCCACGCTAGTTGGACCTAATGCTGGTTCATTTTTGGGTCTTTCTATCCCTAAATACTGTTTTCCATAATGTAGCCACCATTTTTCAATGGAGAATGTCGTTCCTTTACAAATCAAACCATCGATATTGCCTGAATAAAAATTGAAATATACTAAGGAGATGTGAATCAAATCAACCATATACACCACTTCATAACTTTCCTGAGTGATGGCAATAGCTTCGTTGTTTTGAATGGTAACACCTCTAGCCGGAGCAGTGTTATATTGATAATTATCAGGCTGACTGGCCAATATTTGTGCGTTTATGTCTTTATTGCTAGTACTCGTATTATTATTAGTGGTACCATCGTTATTAGATTTATTATTGTGATTATTGTTACTATTATTCGAGTTTTCTTTAGCCTTTGTTTGGAATTTATATAATTGTAAAAATTTCTGTACGGCAGATTTTGCTGGATATGATAATAATAAGGAGGATCTACCAGCACAATGTAACAGTTTCAAATTAAAGTTAATTTTAAAATTTGGCCAAACGGATCGTATATCACCAGTCTCCACATGTAAAATATTAAGACTTGATGGTATAGTAGTCAAATTAGTAATAAACATACTACTACTGCCATCTCCCAGTTTTTTCGGTTGTGAGAAAGACAATAATTCTTGGTGATATTGTTTAAATTGTCCTGGCCATAATGACGGATCTGTTGGTAGTAATACTTGAACAGCTCTAATAACATCCTGCGTATTTCCTGTGAATGAAGTGATTGTAGACGAAAGTCGACGTTCCGCAATCCATTGTTCCACTAGGTATAATTCGTAACCGACGACGTCTAGCTCGGTGTATGTCAGATCGATGTATGAGGGTAAACCCAGGTCATATAATGCTTTTAAATCACAGAATATAAAACTTGATACTTGGATTTCTGCCATCCGTTTAGCAGAATCTAGGATCGAGTTTCTATTATGTGCGGGTACTCGTTGAGGTGATGGATTATATCCATAGGCGTTTGCTATTGCTTGTGACATCTATGTAATGTAAGTGTCGTTTGTGTGTGTGGATATATACATATATATATGGTTGTGTGGATAGATAGATAGATAGTGAACTGAATATCAACTGATCTATATCTATGTATATATCTGTATTATGTAAGGGTTCTCCCATATATAAAAGAAAGGGTAGAACGAGAGTCCGACATATGTCTAGTAGGTGTGGTGTGTGGGTGTACTGTGATTGAAACAGCCCCTTCACCTAGTGATATAACAATATCGATGGATGTGTGTATATATATAAAGCTATTGATGTCTAAGTAGTTGTCAATGCGTGCAATAATATCTATAAACGTCTAGTGATTGCACAACCAGACATTGCAATGGATATGTATTGCGATTGCGCCTGTCTCGGGAGTGTCACTATATACGTATCCCGTGTGTCTCTGTATCTACTCCATTGAACGTATTTATATAATTAACCATACTGTGAATCATCACAACGAAGTATCGGAACTATGCAATACTTCACAATGTACAGCACATGAATGCTGTTGCCCATTGCTAGCTGTCTTGTCCTGTCCTGTCTTGTGTATTGAATAGCATTGCTGATATCTAATGTGTGAGCAGAGACACGAAGACGAAATTCAGAAAATCAACATTTTTCCAAAGGGAGAACTGAATTGGGTAACATAGAGAGAGAGAGAGGTAAAGTTGATATTAATACACCCACTGCTATCCAACACATCTATATCACCCATATAAGGTAGATAGAGGGATTATATACATACATACAAGTATATATATATATATATATATATATAAGGGGCATACTATATTAGATGCTACTGTTATAATTAATTGCTTTGCTTCCTCACATTTATCTATATTTTTTGATATTTTGATACTTTGATCCTATCTGAACACATAATTAATTATTAATCATCTCTCCTTTCCGTTTGCTATAATAATAATACTACTACTACTAATAATAATAATAATATGAGTAAAGAAGAAGAAGCTATCTTCCGTTCAGCGGAAATGGCTTATGTGCAATTATATGTGCCGTTAGAGATCTCTCGTGAAGTGGTATGTCTCCTAGGTAACTTAGGACTATTAATGTTTAGAGATTTGAACAGTGACACTAATGAATTCCAACGTACATATGTAGAACAGTTAAGGCGATGTGACGATACACAACGATTGTTGACATTTTTAGCAGAAACCATGGATAAACATGCAAATGTTTATTGGCATACTTATACAGATTCAGGTCAAGAAACTCTATTACAGAATATGGCTGTGGAAGATTTGAATTCAATCAATGATCTGACTACAGAAATAGAATTGGTCGAATCAAGAGTAAGAAGATTAGATGAATCGTTAAACGATATTCAATTGAAATTAGATTCATTATTAGAAACAAGATATGTTGTATTTAAAGCTGAAAGATTTTTACAAATTAATCCAGGTATTGTTGGAAGAGTGTCTCGTGAATACAGAGAACAACAACAACAAAATAATATCGATGAAGAAAGTTTTCTTGATAATGATAATTTTTCATTTACTATTGATTCTGAAGACGAACAAGAACAAGGTGTACACAATAATCATGATGTTGACAATGGTCATGTATTGTTGGGGAGTGGCATACAAGAACAATTTATGGTGGTTGGTGCGGTTCGTAGGGATAAAGTTGATACTTTGAATAAATTATTATGGAGATTGTTACGTGGTAATTTATATTTTCAAAACATTGCTATTGAAGAACCTTTATTGGATTCAGATGGATTAACACGTGTAGAAAAAGATTGTGTAGTGGTATTCACTCATGGCCATATATTAATTAATAAAGTTAGACGTGTTATGGAATCCTTAGGGGCTCATATTATCCCTTTAGATAAAGAACATTTCCCAAAATTGAATACATTAAATGATGAAATTGATGACTTACAACAAATTGCTCAATCAACTGAACAGGCATTACATACAGAATTGTTGGTAGTTCATGATCAAATTCTGCATTGGAATGTTGCATTTAAGAGAGAGAAGTCTATTTACGCAACTCTAAACTTGTTTAGACAAGAAACTCATGGTTTAGTCGCCGAAGCTTGGTTACCAAATAATGAGATTACCGATTTAACTCAATCTTTAAAAGATTTTGTAGAATCTATTGGTTCAGAATATAGTGCTGTGGTGACAATAATACATACAAATAGACAACCTCCGACGTATCATAGAACAAATAAATTTACTGATGCATTTCAATCCATTGTTGATGCTTATGGGATTGCTACATATCAAGAGATTAATCCAGGTTTGGCTACAATTGTTACATTCCCATTCATGTTTGCCATTATGTTTGGTGATTTGGGTCATGGATTCATTCTTTTCTTGATTGCTCTCGTATTAATACTTAATGAACGGAAGTTTGGAGCGATGACTAGAGATGAAATCTTCGATATGGCTTTCACAGGTAGATATGTCCTAGTATTAATGGGTGCATTTTCAATGTATACGGGGCTCATGTATAACGATATGTTCTCGAAACCATTGACTTTATTCAAATCTGGTTGGGAATGGCCTACAAGTTTTAAACAAGGAGATAATATTTCAGCAAAACAAGTCGGTGTCTATCCATTTGGACTTGATTCTGGATGGCATGGTACAGAGAATGGTCTTTTGTTTTCAAATTCATATAAGATGAAATTATCAATCTTAATGGGGTTCATTCATATGACTTATTCCTTTATGTTTTCATATATTAATTTTAAACGTAGAAACTCTACTGTTGATATTATTGGTAATTTTATCCCAGGTTTGATTTTCATGCAATCTATCTTTGGTTATTTGTCTTGGGCTATTGTATTTAAATGGTCAAAGGATTGGATTAAAGATAATAAACCAGCTCCAGGTCTGTTAAATATGTTAATCAATATGTTTTTGGCTCCTGGAAAGATAGATGAACAACTTTATAAAGGACAAGCTTTCTTACAACAAGTATTGTTATTAGCTGCGCTCGTTTGTGTTCCTTGGTTATTATTATATAAACCATTAACTTTAAGAAGGCTTAATAAAAGTGCTAAAATGAGAGGTTATGAAGGTATTCAAGATCAAGAGACTAGTCGTGAATTGATGGAAACAGAACAACAATTGCATAATCCAGACAATAACGATATGGTAGTCACAGATTTCGATCTTGAACGAGACAATGGTGGTGACGATTCAAATCAACACGGTCCCAATGCAGAATTTAATTTCGGTGATATCATGATCCACCAAGTGATCCATACCATCGAATTCTGTTTAAATTGTATCTCTCACACCGCGTCCTACTTAAGACTTTGGGCTCTGTCGTTAGCTCATGCTCAATTATCCTCTGTATTATGGGATATGACCATTCAAAATTCCTTCAGTTCAGAGAATTCAGGTTCACCCCTAGCAGTGTTTAAAGTATTCTTCCTGTTTGCCATGTGGTTTGTTTTGACTGTGTGTGTGTTGGTTTTGATGGAAGGTACGTCTGCCATGTTGCATGCTCTACGTTTACATTGGGTTGAAGCAATGTCAAAGTTCTTTGAAGGTGAAGGGTACGCATATGTCCCATTCTCATTCAGTAATATGATTGAATCCTGATAAATAAAAAAATAGACTAACATAATATATATAGAACAATTAACATCAAGATTTTTTTAAATCATAAAATTATCGCTAGGATATATATATCTATCTACCGTATAAAGAGGTCAGGGTCCGTCAAATGCCTTACCAGTAAACTATAAGTCTTCGATGGAATCTTCGGGAGAAACCCAACACCTAACTTTATGATTTCATCAGAATCAAATTCAGGTAAGTCCTTCATCAAATTCATTGGAGAATCGGAACGAAGGATTCTACTTCTGATGGTGACTAACATCGCCACAATAAATAGGATGTTCATGTGGAACCCGTATGCAAACATGAAATCCCATAGACGACAGACGTGATCCAGTGGTTTATTACAACCAGACAATGTTAAAATCGATGGCATCCCATATATTTCTGCAGTCAATAGATTGTCATTTAGAAATTTACTCAATTTCGGATCAATAATTTTAAGACATAGATCTAATAATTTAGCTCCATTTCTTACACCTGTTAAGTTAGGTGTAATGTATGTCGGTATTTGAGAATAACAAAGATTCGAAAACAATTGGAATGCCATGGGTTCACTGGGGCATGAATACAATAAAGGTGCCAATAAAACATTCATCCCTTGAACGTACGTGCTTATATTCTTCTTTGAGTGGTCCTCCTCATATAAATGTTGAGTTTGCCATGCAAAACAAGATAGACATCTTGTCAGGGCATCCTCGGGGACGATGTCTTTAAATTTGGTGTTTGTTTGGAATGTTCTACCTGTGTCGTTCTTAATCTTCTTGTATATGGTTGAAGATGGGGGGCCCTGGTTGACTAACGTCATATAGATACTTGTAGAATGTTCCATGGATGTCCTTGAGAGAATTGACCATATGTAAGCTCTAAGTCGCTGTTCATGTTTATCTCCTGTGGCTGGTATCCCCTCACTAAGAACTAAGTATCGCAGTTGCGCTAATGACGAATAGACTATAAGAGGCGGCTTGCTAATAAATTTCTCAATAGATGACATTAGAGTCCACCAGCGTTTGTTTATGTATGTGTGTATGTGTGTGTATCAACTATTTTTTCCTTGAGGACCTGTTAAGTATTTAAGGTTTGCAGTGTTTATTGATCTTTTTTTTTCAACAGTGTTATTATGGGATCAACAACATATTTAAGAAAGTTTCAGCATAAAACTACAAGAATATAAAAATAAAGAAAAGGTTAGTTAGGCCCTTTCAGGCATATCAAGATTGCCATTTGAGCAAACATTCATTATTTCAAGACTTGCTAAGTAACCTATTGTTGAATCAATTAACGTGGAATGCAATGTATCTTGTTTACGTGTTGCTACGTGTAAATGATATGGACACCCAATTCATCATCTTAAACTTGCTCCAGCTCGAACCGAGTGATTCCTTCAGAATAGAGGCTTAGTACCAGCTTACATTGCTCAAATGATCCTTTCTTCTCTTTCTTATTCATATATAAAGTTCAGTTTTCTGTTCAATCGCTAATTTCACTTACTTTATCATTATTTACTATAAATATACAGTTTTTAAACAAATCGATTTCTCAACCGAAAACATGTAAACAAGATTCACAACAAGAGCAGGTAGTCAAGGCTAATACATCAGGTACAGTATTCGTCATATTTGTTTCCAAAGATATATGAATATTCCTAAGTATGAAAACAAGCCATTTAAACCACCTAGAAGAGTGGTACCTGGTGAGAAACCTGACAGTGGCAGACATGCAAGTTTAGCGCCCATCACAGGTCAGAAGAGAAATCATTCGAATTTCTCAAATATTAATGGTAGTAAGCTTACTGAGGGAAGCACGAAGAAGGTAAAGACTAAAATAGTATCCAGTAGCACTAATGTGTCAAGACCAAGTTCGTCCCCACGTTCTGAAACATTCTATACTATTATTCATAGGAAACCATCTCAAAAGAAACATAAAGTTTGGACAGGTGATGGATATGCTATAGCGAGATTAAAAGAAGGAAGCAAAGTAGAGATTGGTAAATTATTATTTTATGATGATTCTGGGAGATATTTAGGTTCGCCTAACCTGGCTTACATGAAACCAGATATTGATCTGATGGACGCTATATTTAAAGCATCAGGTTTAGAGATCCAGCTAGATCATAAGATTGTTGGTAAGGAGGAGATGGATAATGTGATAACTGTTTTAAATATAGATGGTAAGTCTGAACATCTATCAAGTTCTGCTAGGTCATTGGTATCATCCCAGCCTAGTTCGGGTGACAATGCAATTATAAATTCTATAAGTCAAATTAATAAGTCAGCAGTACCTATATCCCAATTGGTAAAAACTATGAAACTCTCTAGGTTTAAATCAGTTACATCAAAATCACAGGTTTTAACACCACACCGAGTGTCTGGAGTTTCAAGCACAGTAATTTCTGGTAATAAAACCTATTTACCATTCTTTGATAAAAACAAAATTGAAAATCCAATTGTTATGAATAGCTCAAGTGATGCAGATGTTGAAGTTATCGTTGATCCTTTATTATCTAAATTTCTGAGACCTCACCAAAGGGTAGGCATTAAATTTATGTATGATTGCATAATGAGTCTCGATCAGTCATCTAACCCGGACTTATTGGAAGAAGATAAAGATCTTACCTCTACCAACGTTTTATTAGAGAAGGATTCGGATATTAATGGATGTATCCTTGCAGATGAAATGGGTCTTGGTAAGACATTGATGACCATTGCATTGATATGGACTTTATTGAAACAAACACCTTATTGTCGTGGCAAAGATATTAATATATCACAATCTGGGGTTCCATTAGAAGGTTATTTCAAGAAGATACTAATTGTTTGTCCGGTAACTCTTATTACAAATTGGAAGAATGAATTTAGAAAATGGCTAGGTCTAAATAAGATAGGTGTATTGACACTTTCAAACGCCAATATAGGGGATATGGATAGGAGTGCAGTCCATAACTTTCTTAGAGTTCATAGGACATACCAAGTATTGATTGTCGGCTACGAAAAATTACTGTCGGTAGGTGATGTTCTTATTCAAGATAATAGTGATCAAAATAAAGCCCTGGGATCTATCGACCTTTTAGTATGTGATGAAGGTCATAGATTAAAGAATCAAACTTCAAAAATATTAAGTATATTAAAAGATATTGATGTGAAAAATAAAATATTATTATCAGGTACACCTATTCAGAATGACCTTACAGAGTTCCACACAATTATTGATTTTATTAATCCCGGTATATTCGGTAGTTATAATTACTTTAAGAAACATTATATTACTCATATTACAAGGGCAAGAGATACGGTGAATAAATATAATGATGACATTGTTGCTCTCGGTGAGGAGAAATCCAATGAGTTAATTGCAATTACAAAAAAATTTATCTTACGAAGAACTAATGATATACTGAATAAGTATCTACCTCCAAAGACAGATTTAATTTTATTCTGCAAGCCTAACTCTTCGCAGTTATCTGCGTTTAAAAATTCAGTAGATACCTCTCAGTTGGATTTCAATTGTTTGACGTACAATTCATCCTTGAGTTTAATAACTACGTTTAAAAAGATTTGTAACTCACCCAGTTTAATTCGTTCACCTAATTCCGAACAAACTTCTGGGTATTTTTCTGGAATAGGTAGATCTTATGATGTTACGTCAGGTAAATTAACTGTATTGATGAAGCTATTAAACAATATACGGCAAAATTCAAAGGATGAAAAGGTTGTCATTGTTTCTAATTACACCCAAACATTGGATATTATACAAGACATGATGAATTCTGCTGCGATGGTATCCTGTCGTCTTGATGGGTCGACTCCACCAAAACAAAGGGGTTCGCTTGTTTCATCATTTAATAACAACCCTAAAATATTCGCATTTTTACTTAGCGCAAAGTCAGGAGGTGTAGGTTTGAATTTAATTGGAGCATCTCGTTTAATACTTTTTGATAATGATTGGAATCCCTCTGTAGACATTCAAGCGATGTCAAGAATCCATAGAGACGGCCAAAAGAGACATTGTTATATATATAGGCTAGTAACAACTGGTTGTATAGATGAGAAAATTTTACAAAGACAGCTGATGAAATCTAGTTTAAGTTCCAAGTTTTTAGATGATTCCGACGTAAATTCTGACATTGCAAACAATAGTAAGCAAAATAAATCTAATAGTGATAATTTATTTGATAAAGAGGATCTTAAAGACTTATTCACAGTAGTAAGTGAGACAACCAGTAACACACATGATTTGGTCTGTCCTTGTAATGGTAACAACACTATAATAAATTTACAGAACTTGACAGAGAAAGAAAATTTAATGGATGTAGAGGAGAGAGAGAACAGGAAGGTGCTTGGGTCGTGGTCCAGCGCGTTGGCTTTGAAGGATGTCATAAAAAATAGTCAGAAACAAGAGAAACTCCTTAAGGGTGAAATGATGAAAAAATGTCTGATTGGTTACAGGCATATCAACCCATTGAAATATCCCAATTTGCATGATATTGTGGCTACCAACACGGTTAAAGAACTTGCTGGAATTGTCACGTTTGCTTTTGTGAAAATAGGTGAAGATAACTCAGCATGACAATCGTATAGTATATGTATACACACCCACACACATATATATATATATTTATATATATACGTCAGACCAAAAGTTGAACCTAATTAATATTAATATAGTACGGGATAGGTTCTACACTTCGAGATATACATAAAGGGGTTCTTTCATTTGTTAAAAATATGTTGATGATATAATTGTTCTCATTTTGACATATTATTTGTCTCCTGCGACACATTCTCTGTTTGACAGCCCCATTACACTGATAGAGCTGAAAGATAAAAAAATGAATTTTCAAAACAAAAAGTGGTTGAAAGCATCGAAAGAGAATGAAACGATATGATGCAACCATTGGTGCAAGTAGAAAAGCTTCAACTAGCTTCTTTCAATAACGCTATACATAGAGGTAATATAAGTATTAGTCCCATTCTTTAAGAGATTCTTTGTTCTTCAACTGTCAATTTAATTTGAGACGATAAGGAAAATAAGGGCGTGATGTTTAAAGGAATTGCCAGTGCATGCAGCGCATGTTTTCGATATAGAAAGACCAATGTTACTACAATGTTACTGGTCACATATGCAGTAGTTGTGGTTCTTTATTTAAATAATAATTTGTTGCGCAAAAATGAGTTACTACCAACTGATAATGAGTCAGTAAGATTACTTGAAAGTGCGTGGTCGGACTTACAGAATATAACGTACAAGCCTCATCCATATACGTCGCATGCTAACGATGTTGTACATGATTACCTACTTCACAGAGTTAAAGAAATGGTTAGTAACACTACATTTTGTGAGATTTCTGACGATTATGAATCCCATAGATCTATTTTATTCTCACAGAAAGACGTTTTCAATGCATCTTCACAGAAATCGTCTGTGATATACTTTGAATCGTCAAACATACTGGTGAAAATACAAGGTAAAAATGATAAAAGTACCGCAGAAGGGTTATTATTATCAGCCCATTTCGATTCTGTTCCAACCGCAAATGGTGCTACAGATGATGGTAAAGGTGTAGTGTCCATTTTGGCTCTGCTCGATTATTACTCTAAACACCAACCTGAAAGAACTATTATCATCAACCTCAATAACAATGAAGAGTTTGGTTTATTAGGTGCACATTCATTTTTTGATCATCCATGGGCAAAGCTAACCAAATATTTTATCAATTTAGAAGGCACAGGCACAGGAGAAGGGAACTCCATATTATTCAGAACAACCAATGTTTTAACTGCAAATTTATACAAATCTGCAGTAAAAATGTTACCGTTTGGTAATTCAATTTTCCAACAGGGATTTAATCAAAGATTAATCCACAGTGAGACAGACTATAAAGTGTATGAGGCCAACGGTCTGTTGGGCTGGGATATCGCATTTTATAAACCAAGAAGTTTGTATCACACAGCAAGGGATAATATTCAAAGTACGTCGAGATCTGCACTTTGGAATATGTTATCAACAACTTGGCAATTAAGCAATCATGTTTCAAATATCCATACTATCAAGGAGAATGATAATTCAAAAGATCCTGCAATCTTTTTTGATATTTATAGAACCATATTTTTCGCATTCTCAGCTAAATGGTTGTTTGTGGTGAATATTCTTTTATTAATTATTTTCCCTCTATTGTCTTTGTCACTGAATGTCTTAGCTAGAAAACGAAATATGCTTGTTTCTGCTCCTATTTTCAGTTGGCTAGAGTTCCCTATAATTGTATCCTTTTCAATTTTTCTTCTAATAGTAATGGAAAAGGATGTAATTAAGAAGAATCCTTATATTGTATCCCATAGCTTTATTGGTTTACTTTTATTTTTCGTCGTGCAATACAATTTTGTCAACCTAATTCTAGCACAGGTTTTAAAATTAATTACTAAAAAAAACGTATTAAAAGATATAATATTTATAGAATTGATGATTCTTTCATGGTTCTTTTTATTGGGAAGTACAGTTATGTTAAAATTGACCAACTTTAAGAGTACTGGGGTGTATCCAATTACAGGTGTGTTTATCAGTATCAGCTTCACGGTATTAATCCACGGCATACTACTTTTATTTTCCCCAAGGAAAAACAATGGTCATAATTTTTTGAAAACTATACCTAATGCCAGTACAAATGAATCTGCTAACTCGAATGATGGAGGTTATGGTACTCGGGAAGAATCAAACATACAAGCTACATCACCTGATAATGAGGACTGTATCCTGGAGCATGAATCAGTATCGAATATTGATGAGAGGGCGCCTTTATTATCTGTCTCTAACGACACTAATGATGATGATAATATTGACAGTATCCAAGATCATATTGTAATTGTCCCAGATGAGAGTGGTATAGCGAAACATTACGAATGGTTACTACAATTTTTAATCCTTGTACCTATTACGTTTATATTCTTCCAGGCTGTAGTTGATTGTTTGTCTGGGTTGAACCAAACAGTCCAGGAATCGGATGACTCCTTTAACCTGGTATACAGCGGTATTATTTGGTGTTCTGTAATATTAAGTCTCCTAGTTTTACCATTTATGTCAAAAATAGGAGGTCGTGTTACCGCACTTCTATTTGGGGTTTGTTTGGTCTCTGCTATTTATTTTACTACTATTGAGTCATTTGACTGGGGTACTCCACTAAAAGTTAGGTTTTCTCAAAACATTAATGGGACTGTAGAAATAACAGGAAGAATTGATATGGTAAAAGAATTGATATTTGATCTTCCAAGTTATAAACGTGAAAACTTTGCAAATATCAAGGGTGGTGTGACCTGTAGCTATGGAGATATAGGCGTTTGTTATTATAAAGGAATGTTACCTACAGTTTTACCTTATAAGGACAATATTTCCAATAATAGATCAGAAATTCTATCAGTTGATATTGTTGATAATGACAGATTATCACCGGACCGTTCTAAATATGCGCCAATCAATGCTGATATAAGAATAAATGTGCCAAATAATAGAGCATGTGTGATATCTTTCAATTCAACGAACTCGCCCTCAGCAGTATCCGCAGTCAGAAAGATCACAGTTTTCAACGAGTATTCAAATGCGACAGATTCTGGAAAAAAATTGACATACAAATCGAAAAACGATATTAATGAACTGCAACTACACAAATTAAATTTTACAAGTGGAAGTTATGTGATTGGAATTCAATGGTTTCCAAGATTACTATGGGATAAACAATTTAAGACATCCCACGCTAGTAATTCTGAGGATTCTTTAGGACTTAATATAAAGTGTTTCTGGGGAGACTATGAATCAGATACATTAGTCGGTGGTTCACGAACACATATGATACCTGCTTATGAAGAGTTACTAGATTATGCACCATTAAAGTATACTATTACAAATAAAGAGAAGGGCTTAGTGGTTGCCGATCAATATATCGAATTGTAGAAAATACTAATGAAACCTTATATAGTATATATTAATAAAACCACATATGTGTTTTTATTCTCGTAATATTACGATATTATTAATTATTATTACAGATTGTTATTTAAATGACTATTCAGACTCTTATTTATAGTATTGAGAGCCTTGTGGTTGATTAGGATTGATGTAATATGCATTATTATTGATTTGTTGCTGGTTGTTCATAATACCATTTTGAGGAACTTGTCCTCTCGATTGGTTTATCAGATTTTCACCATTGAAAAGAAATGGGCGTGTCTCAGCCCCATTTGATGTATGATTCGGGATACTAACATGTGGATATGACATTGGGCGCTGAACATTTTGACCCATATTATTCGAGATTTGTTGCATCTGTGAATGTTCAATTCCTGCATTGTTATAATCAACATGGGGTTGGTTTTGGCCATATTGAAGATCTCTATGTACATATGGATTCGGAGTAATTCCAACTGTATATGGTCTTCTAAAATTTCCATTATTTGGTTCAAAATGAAGTACTGGTGTACTATTCGATGATGTATGTAGTGATTGTTGCGGGTCTGGGATAAAAACAGGCATTGATATTATTTGACTCTTGGTAACAATAGGAGTTGGATGCGAAGAAATACTGTATTGGCTACGGTCATAATGGCTCATTATTTCATTTGTAGCCTCTCTCCTATTAAATCTATCTATTTTTTCAGGGTTTATGAAACCATTTGGTTGTTGAAAGTTATTTCGAGGATTATATGATCCCGTTTGCATAGGAATCTTATAAGAATTATAAATTCCATTGTTAGGATTGCTTGCAGATGGAACATTCTGGTGATGTGGACCAATATCATCCTCGTAATAAGAACCATGAGAAGGTCCATAAGTTTGATTGTCGTAGAAATAAGGAGTCTTAAAGCTTTTTTCTTTGATTCCCTTTTCTTCGATCTCATTCTCCCAACCTATCCGAGACGCTTTCCGCTTCTTATGCATATTGATTTCTTCGCTAGTTAAATCGATTATTTCATTACTATTTAATGAATTACGTTCAGAATCTGTAGAATTTTCATCGACATTTTCTATGTCAAGTGAACAGATATCTTCTTTCTCTACAATCTCTATAGGTTCAAATAACTTTCCATCGCTTTGATTTGTTAAATCTATTAGAACAACGATAGGTACATCTGGATTTTCATATTTGATAGACAATTCAGTTTTTTTTCCAGCGACTATGTTTGTTGTTGTTTCATCAGATTTTTGAATAGAATGTAAACTATTTGCTGTAGATTCATCATCAATATCATTTTCTATTGAATTCCCATTATTGTTGTTTACCTCAAGTATAATTAATTTTGAAAGTAATGTTTTCAACTTATTAACATTTTCAGAATCTTTTTCAATTTTAAACAATTTCAATGCTTGATTAATAGCATCCGTTGCATTCTTATATTCCCCAGTTGCTGTATAAACCTGCGATATACCAAACCATGCAATTGCCGCAAAGACATTGTTAAATTTTAATTCATATGATGGTAATAGACTGTTAGATGTGGAAGAATTACTGGCCACACTGGACGCATCAGAGAGGCTCCTTTCTGATTTATCACTTTGGTTTTCATCAGTATATAGTGAATGATTAACGGCTTGGGTATAAGTAGATAATGCATCATCAAACTGACCTAATTCCAAATATAATGAAGCAACTGATATCCAAATCCAAGGCTTTCTAGGTAATATTTTTAAAGTTTTTTGATAGTACTCATATGCTTGATTTGCATTTTGTTCAACATTTTTCTTTAATAATAGTCTTGCAATCATATAAGACGTTAGAGCTTGGTCCTTCGAACGATCCAAATCGATTTGTAATTTTAATTGATCAATTTTGGTGGAAATTTCGTTGTCGTTACCATTTAGATATATTAGTTGAGTCTCTAATAATGAAAGTGGTTTTATTGATGAGGTCATATGTGGAAAATTTTTCATTCCTAAATGAATCGTTTCAATTGCATCGTGGTGATTATTAGGGTTTTCTTCGTAGATTAATGTTGCTAGCAAATGATATACATAGCTTGCTTTGATCAAAAGATCATTTGGTTTCAATTGATTTCTCCTTTCATCTAATAATTTCAATATATGTATTAGGTCATTTTTACAACCTATAATGTCTTCAAATTTTTTAAAAAATTGAGCCCTAGTGATTAAAACATCCAGATAATAATTAAAGTTATCAAATTTTTCCAGAAAATGTAAACATTTATCAAAAGCAGGTAATCCTTCTTTCAATGTGTCATGTTGACTATCCATTAATAGTAGAATTCTACATCGAAGAACATACATTTTACTTTCGGATAAAGTAGGTAAATTGTTATCATGGTTTATCGATGAATCCTTCATATCGTTTGAATTATTGTGTTGAATATTATTAATGTTGTTGGTAAGTTTTTTAGTTGCATCAGTATTAGAGATATTTGTTCCTTGAGCTTTCAAAGAATATCGTTGGAAATCTGGTGAATTGATATTAGTAGTAGTAGTAGTAGTAGAAGTAGTATTCATTATCATTGAATACCTGGAACTTTTTTCAAAAAGCGCAAGTGCTTGTAAGATCGCATGATTTGAATCGTCAAATCTATTCAATCTATAATAAGAGACAGCTAATTTCTGCCATATCATAATATTATTTAGGATAATGTTTGACTTTGAATTGACGGCAGAGATTAAAAGATGGATCACATTGATGAAGCTTTTATTCTTCAGGTATGCATTACTCAACAATAATAAAGTCTTTAAGTTTAATGGATCATTTTCTAAAGTCTTTGTTAACAATTCGAATGCTAAAGGTAATTTATCCATATCAATTGCTAAAGAACCACATTTTTGCAATATTTCAGTTTGAGCTTTAATAATATCAGTGTACATTACTTTAAACGATCTTTTCTATATGAAAGGGAAGAAGGAGATGAATAATGAGGAATTCCCAATAAAATAATATCTGTTTGTGGTGGTGGTTTTTAGAATGAAGGGGGAGAAGGTAAACTAAGAAGAATTGATTATATTCGATTGATATTAAAAGGTATTAACTTTATATGAAGTTATTCCGTTTTATGATAGTTTTTTTTTATTCTATTATGTCGCTATTGAACCTTTAGTCATTATAATGCACTTATATGTGCGGATGAAGGACGGATTAGGAAGTTTGTTTGTTGTTATAGTATTTGTTGCTTGTAGTTATTGTCGTTATTGTAATGCTTTTCACTATTTTTTACACTATATGAATTTCAAACGTAGTACTATAGAGAAGACTTGGAAAGAAACAGTAATATCTTGACACAGTTTTCGGTAATTATCAGGAAATAATGTATGGTATAAATGTTGGTATTGTTCTTGGGTGTTAAAAACCTTGAATAATATATCTTAATTAGAAAAAAGCAGAAGGGAGAATTGTGGAAATATACAGCAATGAAACAAAATGAAGTATATTGTTGAATTGAAAAGATTATAGCAAGGATATGACAAAAAAAGGAGATCAATTACTAATCGATCAATTGTTCTATTAATTTGGTTGACCGTTTTCTTTGTTGTTTGTTTGCGCTAAACGATGATAAAATTAAATCAAGAAACCAACTCAAAGAGAAAGAAAGGTAATAGAAAATAAAGAGTTAAGGTGCTTACAGAATGTAATGTGTTGTTTTATAAGAATATGATTTAAAATTGGGGTTGCGTTAGAAATATGGACATTACTGTTAATTTTTTCTTTTTTGTTTGGTCTTCTTATTATTATTGTTATTATTATTATTTTTATTTTTATTTTTATTACTATTCTTAATGCGTCTTCCTTCTTTCTTTAAGGTAATGTTTAATAAAGTTGTTGGAAGTTCTGCCTCGATTATTAGCAAATTCGGTGCAACATTTCTATCATTCATTCATCTTCTTCTTTTAGAAAAAAATAATTCCTGGATTGTAGCGGTTGTTTATTGAATTCTTCTTCGAATAAACAGGGCCCAATATATTAAGAGAGACAGGGAGGCGCCATTTTTTTTTATTACTTTATATTTTAAAATATAGTTGTGTTAAGTTATCTGAGGTCGATATGTTAATAAGTCAAAAAATAAAGTACAAAAAATCATTATATAAGCTTTCATTCTCAAGTATGCTTTCTCAACATCGTAGCGTTGCTGTTATGGAAGCATACTTGCAGCTCATCAAAGAGGATGTGAGGGATAGGCGTGCTGCTCTTATTTTGCTTTTATTTTGTATCTTGTATTTTTTATTTCTTTTTTCAACTAAAAGGAATTAAACTCAGGAGAAGGAGAATCGATTGAAAATTTTGAAAAATGTGAAAAATTTCAGAAGAAGAACCTGGAGAAGTAAGCGAAGGATAGGAGGAAGGAGGATTAGAAAACAGATCAAATTTTAAGATGGTCGACAAGTGAAAATGATGCACAATAACCTTCGTATTTCTGAACCAGAAAACAGAAGAACTACTATCATTATTTTATTTTCATTTGTTTTCTTTTCTTGCGTAGGTTCTTTCTCTTTGATATCCTTGATAAAGGTTTTGCTATCTTGTTAGTTACTTGTACAACAATTCTCTCTTTCTATCTCTAAAGTATTATCTGAATGATTGCATTAAGCTTTTTTTTTCTTTCTTCAGGAATGTCATTATTTCTTCATGGTCTTCACCCAACAACGTTTGTTCCTGAATTAAATAAAACATATGGGAAAAAAAGAAATTGCAGTATTATTTCGATATAATTAATGGGAAGTAAAAGTAAACTCCCTCTCTGTTTCTCTTAGCCGGACCTCTTAAGTTATTTCTACCTCGATTATCTCGTGATTTTTTTTTTGTTTTTGTTTTTTTATTTTTTTTTATAATTTGACACAGGCAAAAAAAAGAAAAATAACTAAAAGTAAACTACCGAGAAATATATAGAGGGATATAGTTACAGGAGATAATAATTATGTCTCTCTTCTTCACTTTGTCAGTAGAACAAGATATATATTTAAAGAAAAAAGGTTAAACTTCTTCCGCTTCTCTCATGTTGTCTTCCGACCATTAACTAAACCCATTGAGTTAAGAAACCGATGATTGGTACAAGAAACGTAGGTGAAACACATGTTGTAGAATACAATATTACCAATCAAGTTTTCTACATCCTTGTTACTTGTATAGTCGATAAATCGAGGATCTTAGAATTAAGATTATTTTCGATAAAAAGAAAACGGGTTTGTGTTGGGTTTTCTTTCATAATACGGTCGTTTATCTCTAAATTTATATTGAAAAGGAGAACCCATTTCCACTCCTGTACAAGTCTTTGTTAATCTTTATTTTTTTCAAAAATAAAAAAATAAAAATATAATTATGTTGCAAGTTGGGGTAGGAAAGAGATTAGTGATGTTTGGTTGGTTGGTTTCTCCTCTGAATCTTTATTAAAGATAACGTTTCCTTTGACCAGAGTATTTATTCGTTCTAAAAAGAACTATGAGGAGGGAAACAATTAATGAAAGGAACTAAGCATAGTCTATCCATTGATTGCGTCTAAGTACGTGGGCATTCCAACATGAAACGTCCAAACCCCAGTCCGCAAAATAAAATAAAATAATATATATAGACATGTATCATTTGTCACGCATCCGAAGTAAAGATACGATTTCTTCGTTATATAATATAATGTAATAAAGCAGAAAATAAAAAGATGAGATAGACACTTGGCATATTTCCAAAAACGGTACGAATCTGACCTATTCTGATCAATATTAATTATAATTTTTTGTGCACGCAGTCCTAGGAGAATTAAAAAAACCACCACAATTAATTCTGGGCCTAATTTAAAGTTTTGTACATGATATTATTATTCTTTTTATCTTGGTAAGAATAATCAAACAGGATATGTAAGTGAATGTGGATAACGTAAGCACGTAGAGAATAGGCAAGAGGCAAGATGCAACAAAAAATTAAAATAAAATAAAACAAAAAACAAAAGAATTCAACTAAAGATTAAGTTAAGGTCATTGTGCAGTGGCAGTACTACGAATATAAAATTCCGGATAATAAAGTTAGTATATTAGAGTTTGTTTAATATTTCAAACCCAACAAAACTTGAAGTAAAAACGGAAATACAGAAAGGAAAAAAAAAATTCATTTCGCAAGGAAGAGTTATCCGTGGAAAATTTTTTAAATTTTTTAAATTTTTACATTTAGTAATCGATTGAAAGGTTTTGAAAATATTCGATGGGGTAAACAAAAAACCGAAAGTGATGTTAAAAAGATGCGATAAAAATAAAAACGTCAGTAAAGCAATAAAACTTGGAATAATACAAAAAACAAACAAACAAACAAATATATAACGATGTGTTAAAATAAAATAAGCTAAATTAAGTAACAAAACTATGCTAGAAGAAAAAGAAGAATTGCTAAATAATCGTAGAATCTTTAATGATATTACCAATATCTCGACCCAGACCACGACGACCACGACAACAACGACACCAACAAACAAATTACGTTTATTAAATAAAAGTTATAATATTAATGAGGGACAACTTTATTGTAAAGATAATTCACAAACGATAAAGAAAGAAAATAAAGTATATTTACCTAGAGTATTTCAACATCATGATTTACCTGACTGGTTAATTCAGAGGTATAAGGATAAAGATCGATGTGACATATTTATTAATTGCAATTTTAATGGATCACCCTGTAATACGATAAGAGGAGCATATTGTGATGCAGAGGAAGAAAATATAGTTATAAATAAGAGTCAATGGATTGAATTTAAGTATTGTAGAAAATACAATTCAATAAATCAAATACTATGTCGATTTTGTTATGGTAAGAATTGGATCGAGGAGTCATTTATATATGAACATTTATTTGGATCTCATGGTATAGTAACAAACAATAATAGCAGTAGTAATAAGATAAGAATTAGATTATTACCATTACCGCAAAAATACCAAATTAATGAAATTTCCAACAAAACTAAAACTAAAACTAAAACTAAAAATATTAAGATTCAAGTACTATGTAAGGAATGCGAGAAATGGATTAAATTAAATAGTAGTAATAGTAGTAGTAGTACGAAGGAAACCATTGAGTATAGACAATTACATGGAATTCGTGGGTTTTATGAAAATTATTTCAGACATTATATTTCATGCAACTCCAGTGAACATAATCAAATTCATTTTATTTCCAATAAATAAGTAAAAATAACAAAATAATATATTTTCTAATAGCACGTGTAAAGAAATAAAATACTTTATCTCCGACCGGTGATAAAGAACGAGAAAATAAACACTTGCCCACCCTTACAGCCCAGAAATCGCACAGAAGTCAACAACAACAATTTACCAGTTGCTTTATCTGAGGGGGAGGGGGTGGGTGGGTCCTCTTAACAAAATTCCCCAAAAGGGAAATACGGCCAACTTTCTTGCAAAATATGGCAATAACAAATCCCCACAACGAAGAGTGTTCCGTACAACAGTGTATTCTTCTTATATAAAATATATATCCAATATTTAGGGAGCTATTACCTTATACGGGAACTAAGAAAGAGATGCCAGTGCTGTGCCCACGCTATAGTTAAATAGAGTTTCTGACAGTGCGCGGAAAACTAGCGTAACTAAACCAAATTTTTAAGCCGCGGAATAAAAAAGAAATGGACAAAGAGTTGGGGGGGGGGCAAGGGAGGAACCGAACCACCATAACCCTAAGCGTATCCGTATTCTGTTGACTATCTGAGTGTTACTCTCAGATCATATAGAAGGAGAAGGAAATATAGATACAGATAGATACCGTGCTCTCTCCCCCCATCCCACCCCACCCTACCCACACCCACATCCTCACCCCTTTCTACGGCAACAAAAAAACAAACAACGGAAAACGGATTGTGACCTCAGGAGACATTCTCCCACAAAAAAGAAGTTTATTTCGGATCGCAATTATACAAATCATTAATTCTCTTATAAGCAAACAATGCACTAACAATACACCGCATAAAAGACTCTACTCAAACGGATCCTTCTTACCTTTCAATTAAACAAAAGAGAAAATACATCTATTATCACACGATAAAACAACAACAATAACAACAACAACAACAACAATAGAAAAGTCAATTATCAAATATAAGCATCTAATGTATACAAAATCTCAACGTCGTGCATCAATATCTCTGTAACTCTCACTATCATACACACCGATATACTTATATACTTAAACATACAGCTATATTAAAATAAATGATCCAGACTCACTAACAACAACAACAAATATTATTATCAATTTGACTCTCCCCTTCCCACATCTCTATAAAAGTATATTTAATGCATAAAACTGTTAATCAATAAATTTATTCAGTTTAGTTTGACCTGATACTAATAATTTGTACCACGGCTAGTACTGCCCAACTCTTCCCAATTAAACTTCATTTCTCCTTATTATTCTTTTGAAATGCGCGGAATCTATAAAATAACGAAATTGATACATACACACACACACTTTTTACTATAATTAAATGCAATTCACTCAATTGAATAACAAAATAGATTATTGAATATAGTAATATTAAGTAATATTTTACCAACTTTCTAACGGAGATTCCTAAATAGTATTTTCATAATTCTTCTATTAATTAGTATTGGTAACGTTACAATTTGTTTATCACCATCACTTTCTTGTCTCTCTATTTCTTTGTCACTGATACAATATTATTATTATTATTATTATTATTATTATTATTATTATTATTGTTTTTCAAATAAATAAAAACAATCATTTCTTCTACCTTTCTCTCTCTTCTTTCTCATATTTTCTGGAAGAATTATAACAAGAATGATATAATATCAAATTTAGTGCCTTTAATTAAATAATATTCTCTTTAAATAATTTATTTTATTTCTGTTTTTATCTTATTTTTTTTTCGGTTTAACTAATATATATATACTACACAAAGGTAGACTCATCTAATGCACGTTAAAGTAAATCAATTTCCTTTTCATACATATATACATATATGCTTTTTTCTTTCTTTCTTGTTTCTTGTTTCTTATTATATATATATACTGATAAATAAATTGAACAGATTTTAATTATATATATATGCTATATAATAAGATGGATATTCAAGATTTCGATAATAATCAGAATATAAATATTATTACAAATTCAACTAGTAATAATAAGAATAATAATATTATTCAACGTTCAAAAAGTTCAAGTTCAAATTATATTAATAATAATTCAAGTGCTTATTTATATTATCAAAATATTAACGATTTAAAATATATGAATGCTTTAAATGAAACAACAAACAACAATAATTATAACAATAGTTTCTATTATAATAATAATGATACTATAATGACTCAATTACCGAAGTTTGATTCGTATACTGACGCTTATAATAGATTGGCTGTAGTAGATCCTTCTTCAATTGGTCCCAACAACAACAACAATATGGATATGATGTATGGTTTATCATCAATAGATTTACAACAGCAACAGCAACAGCAACAGCAACAAGATCCTATGTTTACGATTGGTAATACTAATAATACCTCAAATAGCTTTACGCCGACTCCTTTACCTGGTTCTAATAATTCTAAAGGGATATTGGCAATGTCTTTACAAACTATGGGAATGCAAATGCCTATACAAACACCAATGATAGGTGGTGGTAGTGATAGTGGTAATATTAATAATAATATTAATAATAATGGTAACACACCTTTATTAATTCATCAACCTACAAACTTTTCCTCCAATAATAATAATAATATTCCTAATTTTAATAATAGAAATTACATTACCGTTAATAGTAATGGTAATAATTTAAATGATTCCATTAATTTTAATAATCACATGATTCGCTCTACCCCTAAAAACGGATCTCAACAATTTTCACCATTAGATCCATCAACAACAACATCATCATCATCTGTCTTATCAAACAAGAATAACGAGACCTCCACATCTACTACCACTACTACAACAATTGGTGCTGATATTGAATCATTAACGAATTATGATGAAAATCAACGATTCAAATATGGTTGTACCATTTGTGGTAAAAGATTTAAGAGACCATCATCTTTAAAGACTCATATTAATATTCATACAGGATTTAAACCTTTTATATGCCCTTATATGGAATGTGATAAATCATTTAATGCGAAATCTAATATGTTAAGACATTATAAATTACATTTTAAACTAAGATCAGGTGCTTATATTTTACCAGATGGTCATATTTCTTTAAATAAACCAACTTCAAAACAATTATTTAAAAATAATTTAAGTCATTCTACTACTACTAGTAATAAAAATAAAAAGACAATAGTTGACCACACTCAAAGGTGAATAATAATATTAATAATAGTAATTATTACCAGCCCCCTCCCCCAATCCATCCATTTTAATTCTTTTTAATTTTAATTATGCCTAATTTTTATATATATTAATTTTTACTTTAATGAAACATTTCCTAATTCTTTACTACAAATTTCATTCTTTTTTTACTTTTTATATAAAATTTGATTTATGTAATCTTAATGATATTTATTAATTACAAAAAAAAAAATAGAATATAAATATTATGTTTTAACCAATTTTATTAATTTATCAATCTCAATAAATTTTGTTTCATCCATTGAATTTAATTTATGAGTCTCTGTTAAGATATGTGTTCTTAACGTATCTGTATATACTTGATGACAATTTTCACAATATCTTTTTTTATTATTTCTTAATTCTATTGATTTATGCAATGGTCTGAAACCTGTATTCACTACAGTTTCATCATATTGTTCATCATACATTGAAGCATTTTGAGTTAATTGTAATAAAGAAGTTCTTGGTTCATGATCATCTGATAATTCTGAAAAGGCAAGTGTCTCTACAGTATCATTGCTACCCAAGGAATCATTATCTAACGATGATCCTGAAGAAGATTCTGATTCAGTTGATGACGAATTATGCTTTGCCATGATTAAGTCTGTTTTTAATGAAACCATAGGGTCAACATTTTCATTGAAACTTTTAAAATTTATATCCATTGTATTAAATCTTTTCAATTCTAGAAATTTTAAAGAATTCATTAATTTTTTTGAGTTTTGACAATCATGATTGAAATAATCATATAATTCTTGATTAACAGATCCCTGTAATTCTAAATCATTAATAATATTTTTCAAATCCTTCGGTGGGCGAGCGTGTCTTTGATAAGTTTTACGTAATTTCAAAGCATATCGTTGATTGACAAGATCACGAGTATATCTTTT